AAATTTATGCAAACCAACACACCTGATGACGACCGTTTGTGTTATGGTCGAAACGTCGTGAGAATTTTTATTGTTTTATATATATTTTATTATTTTTTATTGTTTCCCTTCAACGTGGTGACTTTACCGAAAGAGCTAATTACTGCAGTCACGAAAGCTTTAAATAAAAATCTTTCCAATGGTTGCTTTATTTGAAACCATCCTCTCGATTGAAATTGTGTCCGTGTTTTGTAGATCCGGATTGCCTCGTGGACAAATCTCTGATGAAAACCCGTGGGTTTGCAGAGGACCTTGGTATCGGAGAAAACAATATCGTGATCACCCACAGCGTTGTAACAGTGATCAGCCGCGGCAGAAGAATTCGTTCTGCCGTTTCAAATCTGATTTGTGCTCGCGAATTCGGTTGGAGACATGTCGCTTTGTCTCCCCGATATAGCAATCACCACAGGTACAACTCAATTTGTAAGTCAGGAATGACATCCTTCACGGAAGGGATCAAGTCACGGATTTTGTGTACTGTATTGAACCGGACCAGGATCTTGTGTTTGTTTAGAATTTTGGAAATCTCTTTAGTAACGCCTGCTATATATGGTAGTGTGATGGTTGATAGTATCAAGTGGTTGTTTCTGTATGGAGGGAGAGACAGCTTGGCGGATGGTACGGTCAGAGTATCCGTTTCTCTTGAGGGCCAGGTGTACATGTTTTAATTCACTGGTCAGGTGGTGTTGGTCCGAAATGCAATGAGCCCTGTGGTATAACGTTTTGATGAGATAGTTCTTTTGAGTTGGGTGGTGTTGGTGGGAATCAGGTTTCAAGTAGGAATCTGTGTGGGTGGGTTTCCTGTAGACAGAATGCCCCAATGAGCCATCAGGTCTCCTCTCAAACAGAACATCCAAGAATGGCAGCTTGCCATCTTTCTCCACTTCCATGGTGAATTTGATGGCGGGATGTCTGGAATTGATGTGGTCTAGGAAAAGGTTCAAAGCCGGGAGGCCATGTGGCCAAATGACGAAAGTGTCATCCACATATCTCTTCCACAGGGAAGGTCTGAGGGTGGAAGTCTGGATGGCGTCCGATTCAAATTTCTCCATGAAAACATTGGCTATCACTGGTGATAAGGGAGAACCCATGGGGGTAACCCTCATTTTGTTTGTAGAAGGTGCCATTCCAAGTAAAGTAGGTATTGTTGAGGCAGTGCCTAACCAGCGCAGGTGTATCGGGGTCTAGTCCATGTTGGACCAAAATTTTAAATTATTTCAATGGTATCAGGTACTGGGACCTTGGTGAACAGAGAGACCGCATCGAAGCTGACAAGGACATTGTACAACGTCTTTGACCATAGAGACCAATTGGGCCGAGTTAAGTACTGTTGAGGCGGTCTTGCCAGTGAAAGGCGGCAAGGTATCTGACAGAAAACGGGCTAGTTTGTAGGTAGAGGAGTTGATCGTGGACACGATGGGTCGTAGTGGAGTGCCTTCTTTATGAATCTTGGGGAGACCATAGAATCTAGGGGGTCTTGCAGCAGAAGGTTTTAGGGAGGGACGTTTAGTTGGGTCGGTTAGGGAGGTCGAAATTTGCGATGATCTTGTTGTTTTTTATAGTTGGGCTATTGGTAGGGTCATTTTTAATTTTTTGAGTAACTTCCATCGTTGAGCAGGTTCTGGATTTTGTTGTTGTACGAATCTTTATCCATAATAACAGTAGCGTTGCCTTTGTCGGCTGAGAAGATGACTATATCACTTCTGTTTTTTTTGAATTCGCGAGTTCAGAGCGTTAATTTTTGCTGATGTTGCTAATGGGTTTCTTATAATTCTTAAGAATAGTGGCTATTTCAGCTCTCGCGACGTCTGCTTGGATGTGTCCCACGCCCTTGAGGGCTACATCGACCTGAGAGATGATATCATCTACTGGTACGTGGTTTGGGGTGACAGCAAAAATTGAGCCCCCTAGCCAGTACCGTTTTCAGACTGTCCGAAATCGGGGTGCTACTCTGATCGATGACGATTTTGGTGACGTCTAGTTTCGTTATACGTGGGACTGGGTTCTCCTTTGATAGGTGGTCGTATTGAGAAATCAGGTTAGCTTTGCATTTGACTGACAGTGAATCGGCAGAGGGAGCAGTCATGTTGTCTACGTGATTCCAATCAGAAGGTGACATTTCTTCGTGCTCACGTTAAATGAGCTTGTAGGAGAGTCCTGTCTAAAGTATCGAGTTCAAATCGGAGTAGCCGTATCCTCTCTGAGATTAAAGATAGGGCTGGCCTTAAACCGAATCTGTTTAGAATTCGGCGGAAGACGCAGCAGCAGCAGTGAGTGTGAGAGTGGCATCCCAAACTCTCACGGTGGTGCTAATGTACTTTTTTTAAAATGCTAATTCTCAGCTTCATGATAAAGGTGCTTTGTGGAGTTAGATCGCGTTGTTTATAAATGTGTGTCGTAACCCTCCACCACCCGACACGGCCAATCAGCAACAACAAAAGTGTCACTTTGACAAAAGGACGCTCCAGCGCTGTCCTACCAGACGGTCTCGTCCCCTTCACCTGATGAAGGCCGCTTGTGTTGTGGCCGAAACGTCGTGAAAATATTACCGTGTTATTTTATTTTTTTATCAATTCATCATTTTGTTATCATCCTACGTGGCGGTGACTTTACCGAAAGAACCAAAGCAAGATTGAATCCTTGCGGTCACGGAAGCTTTAAAATCGAAAATCGAATAGACATAAATAGTTCGCTACTTCAGCTCGCCGGTGTGTGTTGCTGAAGAGTCAATCCACAACATTTACGGTTTTTTTGAGTTGTACCGTGACGTTACCGCTGGTCTAATTGCATCCAGCATCATCGCCGGGCGATCCGCCGGAATGGTAAAAGCCTTCGCTTAGCTCGCCGGTCTTGAGGCCGCGTCGGGCGGTGGAGGGTTACGACGCAATCTATAAATCAACGCGATCTAACTCCGCAAAAAAAAAAAACCTTTATTACGAATAATATTGGTCGCGAAAGCCTGCTACGTGTTAAAACTTATTCTAAGCTTGCACACCATTACATTTAATGCTGATTTCCTTTGTCAAGGCGTTTTTTGTGCTTTCTGTTTACCCCCTCACAGCCTAAAGGAGGCGACCCGCGCTGGACTTTCTTCACTCCAACGCTGTCCTCTGGACAGCACGGTCCCTTCACCTGATGAAGGCCGCTTGTGTTGTGGCCGGAACGTCGTGATTTTTGTTGTTTTGGTTTTTGTTTTTTTTACCTACTACGTGACTTTACCGAATAGGAGCAAAGAGTATGGATCCTTGCAGACACGAAAGCTTCAAATCTAGTAGTGTGGGTAATGTCGTGATGGTTAATCTCAGTTGATTAACTTTGGACCGTACCAACTCTGCCGTTCAGCCGGAGGGGTGTTCTAATATCATCTACTGTTAGTATAAAAACATTTAATTAACGTAGATTAACCCGACCTCTTAGTAACTTATAAGAATTTAGAACGACGAATATTGTTTACATTTATTAGATAAGCATTTGTGGGGAAAAATTATATTCGGTTTGGTAGTGTGGTTAATATCATGATGGTTAATCTCAGTTGATTAACTTTGGACCGTACCAACTCTGCCGTTCATCTGGAGGGGTGTCCTAATATCATCTACTGTATATATAAAGATTTAATTAACGTAGATTAACCCGTCCTCTTAGTAACTTATAATAATTTAAAACGACAAAATATTGTTTACATTTATGAGATAAACATATGTGGGGAAAAAATTATATTAGGTTGGTAGTGTGGTTAATATCACGATGGTTAATGTGAGTTGGTTTCGTCCACCCATGCTAGTTTTGGGCCGTACCAACTCTGACGGTAAGCTGGAGGGGTGTTCTAATATTATCTACTGTGTATATATGAACATTTAATTAACGTAGATTAACACGACCTCTTAGTAACTTATAACAATTTAGAACAACTAAACATTGTTTATATTTATGAGATAAACATTTGTGGGGAAAAAAATATATTAGGTTGGTAGTGTGGTTAATATCATGATGGTTAATCTCAGTTGATTAACTTTGGACCGTACCAACTCTGCCGTTAAGCTGGAGGGGTGTTCTAATATCATCTACTGTTTATATATAAACATTTAATTAACGTAGATTAACCCGTCCTCTTAGTAACTTATAACACTTTAGAACGACGAATATTGTTTACATTTATGAGATAAACATTTGTGGGAAAAAATTATATTAGGTTTGGTAGTGTGGTTAATATCATGATGGTTAATCTCAGTTGGTTTCGCCCACCCAACTGCTAGCTTTGGACCGTACCAACTCTGCCGTTCAGCTAGAGGGGTGTTCTAATATCATCTACTGTTTATATATAAACATTTAATTAACGTAGATTAACCCGTCCTCTTAGTAACGTATAATAATTTAAAACGACTAATATTGTTAACATTTATGAGATAAACATTTGTGGGGAAAAAATGATATTAGGTTGGTAGTGTGGTTAATATCATGATGGTTAATGTGAGTTGGTTTCGTCCACCCATGCTAGTTTCGGACCGTACCAACTCTGCCGTTAAGCTGGAGGGGTGTTCTAATATTATCTACTGTATATATAAACATTTAATTAACGTAGATTAACCCGACCTCTTAGTAACTTATAAGATTTTACAACGACGGAATATTGTTTACATTTATGAGATAAACATTTGTGGGGAAAAAATTATATTAGGTTGGTAGTGTGGTTAATATCATGATGGTTAATGTGAGTTGGTTTCGTCCACCCATGCTAGTTTCGGACCGTACCAACTCTGCCGTTAAGCTGGAGGGGTGTTCTAATATCATCTACTGTATATATAAACATTTAATTAACGTAGATTAACCCGTCCTCTTAGTAACTTATAACAATTTAGAACGACGGAATATTGTTTACATTTATGAGATAAACATTTGTGTATGTATGTATGTATGCGTGGTGTGTGTGGTGTGTGGTGGTGGTGGTGGTGGGAGGGGTGTACGTGGCGAGTTGGTATCGCCCACAACGCGTCTCGCTTGACCCACGTGTTAGCCGCTAAAAGCGGCAACTGAGTTCACCCTTAACGATTTATCTCCTATCTCATAAAACAAATAAAGTCGCTAGGATTACGGCGCCTTTCACGGCGGGTTGGTGGGTGAAGATTCTGAAGGTTTTTGTGCGCCGGCAAAAATAAAATGTCGGTCCAGAAGGAGTTGCCGTGGCGTCGGCTTTCTTCGGTCGGCTTCAGCGTCTACAGCGCCCGGGAGATCAGGTCAGGCGAGGCCGAGGCTCCGCTACGGTGTTAGGCCTCGGGTGCGGAGAGCGCTCTTAAAATTAATTTACTAACGCGGGGTGGAGTGGGTGAGTGGGTGGGTGGGTGGAAGAGTGGGTGAGTGGGTGGGTGGAAGAGTGGGTGGGTGGAAGAGTGAGTGGGTGGGTGGAAGAGTGGGTGGGTGAGTGGAAGAGTGGGTGGGTGAGTGGAAGGGTGGGTGGGTGAGTGGAAGGGTGGGTGACTGAGTGAGTAGGTGAGTGAGTGAGTGCATGAGTGAGTGAGTGGGTGAGTGAGTGGGTGAGTGAGTGAGTGGGTGGATGGGTGAGTGGGTGGGTGGGTGGATGGGTGAGTGGGTGGGTGGGTGAGTGGAAGGGTGGGTGAGTGGAAGAGTGGAAGGGTGAGTGGAAGGGTGAGTGGGTGAGTGAGTGAGTGGGTGGAAGGGTGGGTGAGTGGGTGGGTGGGTGAGTGAGTGGGTGCGTGGTGAGTGAGTGAGTGGTGGGTGAGTGAGTGCATGAGTGAGTGAGTGGGTGAGTGAGTGGGTGGGTGAGTGGGTGGGTGAGTGAGTGAGTGCGTTAGTGCGTGAGTGGGTGGGTGAGTGGGTGGGTGAGTGGGTGGGTGAGTGGGTGAGTAGGTGAGTGAGTAGGTGAGTGAGTGGGTGAGTGAGTGAGTAGGTGAGTGAGTGAGTGTGAGTGGGTGGGTGAGTGGGTGGGTGAGTGAGTAGGTGAGTGAGTGAGTAGGTGAGTGAGTGAGAGTGTGTGAGTGGTTGTATGGGCGACTTATATTGGTTGAGTTTGGAGTATCCCTCCCTCCCCCTCCCCACCTTACAGGGAGCTGAGCGTCAAGGAGGTGACCAGCCCCGTCGTGATGGACGCTCTGGGCAACGCGGCCCCCGATGGCCTCTACGATTCAGCCATGGGGCCCGCTCAGTCAAGGGACGTCTGCTCCACGTGCCGACTGGGATACTCTCACTGCCCCGGCCACCTGGGCCACGTGGAGCTGCCCCTGCCCGTGTACAACCCCCTGTACTTTCACGTGAGTGGTGGTGGTGGTGGTGGAGATGGGGAGAGATGGGTGAGTGGATGGGTGAGTGGGTGAGTGAGTGAGTGGATGGGTGAATGGGTGAGTGAGTGAGTGGGTGGATGGATGAGTGGGTGAGTGGATGAGTGAGTGAGTGAGTGGGTGAGTGAGTGGGTGAGTGAGTGAGTGAGTGGATGGGTGAGTGAGTGAGTGGGTGGGTGAGTGAGTGAGTGGGTGGGTGAGTGAGTGAGTGGGTGGGTGAGTGAGTGAGTGGGTGGGTGAGTGGATGAGTGAGTTGAGGGTGAGTGAGTGAGTGAGTTGAGGGTGAGTGAGTGAGTGAGAGGGTGAGTGAGTGAGTGAGAGGGTGAGTGAGTGAGTGAGTGGGTGAGTGAGTGAGTGAGAGGGTGAGTGAGTGGGTGAGTGAGTGGGTGGGTGAGTGAGTGAGTGGATGGGTGAGTGGATGGGTGAGTGAGTGAGTGAGTGGGTGGGTGAGTGAGTGAGTGAGTGGGTGGATGAGTGAGTTGAGGGTGAGTGAGTCTGCTCCACGTGCCGACTGGGATACTCTCACTGCCCCGGCCACCTGGGCCACGTGGAGCTGCCCCTGCCCGTGTACAACCCCCTGTACTTTCACGTGAGTGGTGGTGGTGGTGGAGATGGGGAGAGATGGGTGAGTGGATGGGTGAGTGGGTGAGTGAGTGGGTGAGTGGATGGGTGAGTGAGTGAGTGGGTGAGTGGATGGGTGAGTGAGTGGGTGAGTGGATGGGTGAGTGGGTGGGTGAGTGAGTGAGTGAGTGGATGGGTGAGTGGGTGGGTGAGTGGATGGGTGAGTGAGTGGGTGAGTGGGTGAGTGAGTGGGTGGGTGAGTGAGTGGGTGAGTGAGTGAGTTGAGGGTGAGTGGGTGAATGGGTGGGTGGGTGGGTGAGTGAGTGGGTGAGTGGATGGGTGAGTGAGTGAGTGAGTTGAGGGTGAGTGAGTGAGTGAGTGGGTGCGTGAGTGGGTGAGTGAGTGAGTGAGTGAGTGGGTGAGTGGATGAGTGAGTTGAGGGTGAGTGAGTGGGTGAGTGAGTGAGTGGGTGAGTGAGTGGGTGGGTGGGTGAGTGAGTGGGTGAGTTGAGGGTGAGTGAGTGGGTGAGTTGAGGGTGAGTGAGTGGGTGAGTTGAGGGTGAGTGAGTCTGCTCCACGTGCCGACTGGGATACTCTCACTGTCCCGGCCACCTGGGCCACGTGGAGCTGCCCCGGCCCGTGTACAACCCCCTGTACTTTCACGTGAGTGGTGGTGGTGGTGGAGATGGGGAGAGATGGGTGAGTGGATGGGTGAGTGGGTGAGTGAGTGAGTGGGTGGGTGAGTGAGTGGGTGGATGGATGAGTGGGTGAGTGGATGAGTGAGTGAGTGAGTGGGTGAGTGAGTGGGTGAGTGAGTGGGTGAGTGGATGGGTGAGTGAGTGGGTGAGTGGATGGGTGAGTGAGTGGATGGGTGAGTGAGTGGATGGGTGAGTGAGTGAGTGAGTGGGTGAGTGAGTGGGTGGGTGAGTGGGTGAGTGAGTGAGTGGGTGGGTGAGTGAGTGAGTGGGTGAGTGAGTGGGTGAGTGAGTGAGTGAGAGGGTGAGTGAGTGGGTGAGTTGAGGGTGAGTGAGTGAGTGAGAGGGTGAGTGAGTGAGTGAGTGGGTGAGTGAGTGGGTGAGTTGAGGGTGAGTGAGTCTGCTCCACGTGCCGACTGGGATACTCTCACTGCCCCGGCCACCTGGGCCACGTGGAGCTGCCCCTACCCGTGTACAACCCCCTGTACTTTCACGTGAGTGGTGGTGGTGGTGGTGGGGAGAGATGGGTGAGTGAGTGAGTGGGTGAGTGGGTGAGTGGATGGGTGAGTGGGTGAGTGGATGGGTGAGTGAGTGGGTGGATGGGTGAGTGAGTGGGTGAGTTGAGGGTGAGTGAGTGGATGGGTGAGTGGGTGAGTGGATAGGTGAGTGGGTGAGTGAGTGGGTGAGTTGAGGGTGAGTGAGTGGATGGGTGAGTGGGTGGGTGGGTGAGTGAGTGAGTGGATGGGTGAGTGAGTGAGTGGGTGGGTGAGTGAGTGAGTGTGTGGGTGAGTGAGTGAGTGTGTGGGTGAGTGAGTGAGTGGGTGGATGGATGAGTGGGTGAGTGGATGAGTGAGTGAGTGAGTGGGTGAGTGAGTGGGTGGGTGGGTGAGTGAGTGGGTGAGTTGTTGGGTGAGTGGGTGAGTGGGTGAGTGAGTGAGTGGATGGGTGAGTGATTGAGTGGGTGAGTGAGTGAGTGGGTGAGTGAGTGAGTGGGTGGGTGAGTGATTGAGTGGGTGAGTGAGTGAGTGAGTGGGTGGGTGAGTGGGTGAGTGGATGGGTGAGTGAGTGAGAGGGTGATTGGATGGGTGAGTAAGTGAGTGAGTGGGTGAGTTGAGGGTGAGTTGAGGGTGAGTGAGTGAGTGGGTGAGTGAGTGAGTGGGTGAGTGAGTGAGTGGGTGAGTGCATGGGTGAGTGAGTGAGTGGGTGGGTGGAGGGTGGGTGAGTGAGTGAGTGGATGGGTGAGTGAGTGGGTGAGTTGAGGGTGAGTGAGTGAGTGGGTGAGTGAGTGGGTGAGTGGATGAGTGAGTTGAGGGTGAGTGAGTGAGTGAGTGGGTGGGTGCGTGAGTGGGTGAGTGAGTGAGTGGGTGAGTGAGTGAGTGAGTGGGTGAGTGAGTGAGTGAGAGGGTGAGTGGATGAGTGAGTTGAGGGTGAGTGAGTGAGTGAGTGGGTGAGTTGAGGGTGAGTGGGTGAGTGAGTGGGTGAGTGAGTGAGTGGGTGAGTGAGTGAGTGAGTGGGTGAGTGAGTGAGTGAGAGGGTGAGTGGATGAGTGAGTTGAGGGTGAGTGAGTGAGTGAGTGGGTGAGTTGAGGGTGAGTGAGTGAGTGAGTGAGTTGAGGGTGAGTGAGTGAGTGAGAGGGTGAGTGAGTGAGTGAGAGGGTGAGTGAGTGAGTGAGTGGGTGAGTGAGTGAGTGAGAGGGTGAGTGAGTGGGTGAGTGAGTTGAGGGTGAGTGAGTCTGCTCCACGTGCCGACTGGGATACTCTCACTGCCCCGGCCACCTGGGCCACGTGGAGCTGCCCCTGCCCGTGTACAACCCCCTGTACTTTCACGTGAGTGGTGGTGGTGGTGGTGGGGAGAGATGGGTGAGTGGATGGGTGAGTGGGTGAGTGAGTGAGTGGGTGAGTGAGTGAGTGAGTGGGTGAGTGGATGGGTGAGTGAGTGGATGGGTGAGTGGGTGAGTGAGTGGGTGAGTGAGTGGGTGAGTGGGTGAGTGAGTGGGTGGGTGAGTGGGTGAGTGAGTGAGTGGATGGGTGAGTGAGTGGGTGAGTGAATGAGTGAGTGAGTGGGTGAGTGAGTGAGTGGATGGGTGAGTGAGTGGGTGAGTTGAGGGTGAGTGAGTCTGCTCCACGTGCCGACTGGGATACTCTCACTGTCCCGGCCACCTGGGCCACTTGGAGCTGCCCCTACCCGTGTACAACCCCCTGTACTTTCACGTGAGTGGTGGTGGGGGTGGTGGTGGTGGTGGGGAGAGAGATGGAGAGAGATGGGGTGGTGATGGGGGTGGTGATGGGGGTGGTGGTGGTGGTGATGGGGGGAGAGATGGGAGAGAGATGGAGAGAGATGGGAGAGAGATGGAGAGAGATGGGGGGAGAGATGGAGAGAGAGATGGAGAGAGAGATGGAGAGAGAGATGGAGAGAGAGATGGAGAGAGATGGGGGAGAGAGATGGGGGAGAGATGGAGAGAGAGATGGGATGGTGATGGGGGTGGGGGGGGTGGTGATGGGGAGAGAGATGGGGGTGGAGATGGACAGAGAGAGAGAGATGTACAGAGAGAGATGTAGAGAGAGATGTACACAGAGAAATGTACACAGAGAAATGTACAGAGAGATGTATAGACAGATGTACAGAGAGAGATGCACACAGAGAGATGTACAGACAGAGAGAGAGATAGAGAGAGATACAGAGAGAGATACAGAGAGAGATGTACAGACAGAGAGAGATGTACAGACAGAGAGATGTATAGATTGATAGAGAGAGATACAGAGAGATGTATACAGAGAGATAGATAGAGAGAGATGTACACAGAGAGATAACCTCCCCATCTCCCCCCTCCCCATCTCCCCCCCCATCTCCTCCCCCCGCTCCAGCTGCTGCACCAGCTGCTGCGAGGCAGTTGCCTGAGCTGCCACCACCTCACGTGCCCACGGGATCAGCTGACCCTGCTGTTGGCACAGATGTGTGCACTTGACTGTGGAGAGGTGGGAGTCACCTACGCCTTGGAAGACCTCCTGAAGCAGGTCAGTCACTCAGTGACTCAGTCAGTCACTCAGTCAGTCACTCAGTCAGTCACTCAGTCAGTCAGTCACTCAGTCAGTCAGTCAGTCACTCAGTCAGTCGCTGGCACAGATGTCTGCACTTGACTGTGGAGAGGTGGGAGTCACCTACGCCTTGGAAGACCTCCTGAAACAGGTACCCGTTCAGTCACTCAGTCAGTCAGTCAGTCACTCAGTCAGTCAGTCACTCAGTCAGTCACTCAGTCAGTCAGTCGCTCAGTCAGTCGCTGGTACAGATGTCTGCACTTGACTGTGGAGAGGTGGGAGTCACCTACGCCTTGGAAGACCTCCTGAAGCAGGTCAGTCACTCAGTCAGTCACTCGGTCAGTCAGTCAGTCACTCAGTCAGTCACTCAGTCAGTCACTCAGTCAGTCAGTCAGTCACTCAGTCAGTCGCTGGTACAGATGTCTGCACTTGACTGTGGAGAGGTGGGAGTCACCTACGCCTTGGAAGACCTCCTGAAACAGGTACCCGTTCAGTCACTCAGTCAGTCAGTCGCTCAGTCACTCAGTCAGTCACTCAGTCAGTCACTCAGTCAGTCACTCAGTCAGTCAGTTGCTGGCACAGATGTGTGCACTTGGCTGTGGAGAGGTGGGAGTCACCTACGCCTTGGAAGACCTCCTGAAACAGGTACCCGTTCAGTCACTCAGTCAGTCAGTCGCTCAGTCACTCAGTCAGTCACTCAGTCAGTCACTCAGTCAGTCACTCAGTCAGTCAGTCACTCAGTCAGTCGCTCGGTCACTCAGTCAGTCAGTCACTCAGTCAGTCAGTCAGTCAGTCACTCGGTCAGTCACTCAGTCAGTCGCTGGTACAGATGTGTGCACTTGACTGTGGAGAGGTGGGAGTCACCTACGCCTTGGAAGACCTCCTGAAACAGGTACCCGTTCAGTCAGTCAGTCACTCAGTCACTCAGTCAGTCAGTCACTCAGTCAGTCACTCAGTCACTCAGTCAGTCACTCAGTCAGTCGCTGGTACAGATGTGTGCACTTGACTGTGGTGAGGTGGGAGTCACCTATGCCTTGGAAGACCTCCTGAAGCAGGTACCCGTTCAGTCAGTCAGTCAGTCAGTCACTCACTCAGTCAGTCAGTCACTCAGTCAGTCAGTCGCTCGGTCGCTCAGTCAGTCAGTCGCTCGCTCAGTCGCTCGCTCAGTCAGTCACTCAGTAACTCAGTCAGTCACTCAGTCAGTCAGTCACTCAGTCAGTCAGTCGCTCGCTCAGTCAGTCGCTCGGTCAGTCACTCAGTCACTCACTCACTCAGTCAGTCACTCAGTCAGTCAGTCGCTAACACAGATGTGTGCACTTGACTGTGGAGAGGTGGGAGTCACCTACGCCTTGGAAGACCTCCTGAAGCAGGTACCCGTTCAGTCACTCAGTCAGTCAGTCAGTCACTCAGTCAGTCACTCAGTCAGTCACTCAGTCAGTCAGTCAATCAGTCGCTTGGTCAGTCAGTCAGTCACTCAGTCAGTCACTCAGTCAGTCACTCAGTCAGTCAGTCAATCAGTCGCTTGGTCAGTCAGTCAGTCACTCAGTCAGTCAGTCAGTCAGTTGCTTGGTCAGTCAGTCACTCAGTCAGTCACTCACTCAGTCAGTCACTCAGTCAGTCACTCAGTCAGTCAGTCACTCAGTCAGTCAGTCGCTCAGTCAGTCAGTCAGTCAGTCGCTCAGCCAGTCACTCGCTCAGTCGCTCAGTCAGTCACTCGCTCAGTCAGTCAGTCGCTCAGTCAGTCAGTCGCTCAGTCAGTCGCTCGTTCAGTCAGTCGCTCAGTCACTCAGTCGCTCGTTCAGTCAGTCAGTCAGTCGCTCAGTCAGTCACTCAGTCAGTCGCTCAGTCAGTCAGCTGCTCAGTCAGTCGCTCAGTCAGTTGCTCAGTCAGTCAGTCGCTCAAGCAGTCACACACTCACCCACTCAGTCACCCACTCAGTCACCCACTCACTCACTCACCCACTCACTCACCCACTCACTCACCCACTCACTCACTCACCCACTCACTCACCCACTCACTCACCCACTCACTCACTCACCCACTCACCCACCCACTCATTCACTCACTCACCCACTCACTCACTCAGCCACCCACCCACCCACTCATCCACTCACTCACCCACTCACTCACTCACCCACTCACCCACCCACTCATCCACTCACTCACTCACTCACCCACTCACTCACCCACTCACCACCCACTCACTCACTCACCCACTCACGACCCACCCACTCACTCAGTCACCCACTCACCACCCACCCACTCACTCACCACCCACCCACTCACTCACCCACTCACCCACTCACTCACCCACTCACTCACTCACTCACCCACTCACTCACCCACTCACTCATCACTCACCCACTCACTCACTTACCCACTCACCCACTCACTTACTCACTCACTCACCCACCCACTCACCCACCCACCCACCCACTCACTCACCCACCCACCCACCCACTCACCCACCCACTCACCCACCCACCCACCCACTCACCCACCCACTCACCACCCACCCACTCACTCACCCACTCACCACCCACCCGCTCACTCACCCACTCGCTCACTCACCCACTCACTCACCCACTCACTCACCCACTCACTCACCCACTCACCCACTCACTCACCCACTCACTCACTCACCCACTCACTCACCCACTCACTCACCCACTCACTCACTCACCCACTCACTCACCCACTCACTCACCCACTCACCCACTCACTCACCCACTCACTCACCCACTCACTCACTCACCCACTCACTCACCCACTCACTCACTCACCCACTCACCCACCCACTCATTCACTCACTCACCCACTCACTCACTCACCCACCCACCCACCCACTCATCCACTCACTCACTCACTCACCCACTCACTCACCCACTCACCACCCACCCACTCACTCACTCACCCACTCACCACCCACCCACTCACTCACCCACTCACCCACCCACTCATCCACTCACTCACTCACTCACCCACTCACTCACCCACTCACCACCCACCCACTCACTCACTCACCCACTCACCACCCACCCACTCACTCACCCACTCACCCACTCACTCACTCACCCACTCACTCACTCACTCACCCACTCACTCACCCACTCACTCATCACTCACTCACTCACTCACCCACTCACCCACTCACTTACTCACTCACCCACCCACCCACTCACTCACCCACCCACCCACCCACTCACTCACCCACCCACCCACCCACTCACCCACCCACCCACCCACTCACCCACCCACCCACTCACCCACCCACCCACTCACCCACCCACTCACCACCCACCCACTCACTCACCCACCCACCCACCCACTCACCCACCCACCCACTCACTCACTCACTCACCCACTCACTCACCCACTCACTACCCACCCACTCACTCACCCACTCACCACCCACCCACTCACTCACCCACTCACCCACTCACTCACTCACCCACCCACCCACTCACCCACTCACTCACCCACCCACCCACCCACTCACTCACTCACCCACTCACTCACACACTCACCCACTCACCCACTCACTCACCCACTCACCCACTCACTCACTCACTCACCCACTCACTCACTCACTCACCCACTCACTCACTCACTCACCCACCCACCCACCCACTCACCCACTCACTCACTCACTCACCCACTCACTCACCCACTCACTCACCCACCCACCCACTCACTCATCTACTCACTCACTCACCCACTCACTCACCCACTCACCACCCACCCACTCACTCACTCACCCACTCACCACCCACCCACTCACTCACCCACTCACCCACTCACTCACTCACCCACTCACTCACCCACCCACTCACCCACTCACCACCCACCCACTCACTCACCCACCCACCCACTCACTCACCCACCCACTCACTCACCCACCCACCCACTCACCCACTCACTCACCCACTCACTCACTCACCCACTCACTCACCCACTCACCCACTCACTCACCACTCACCCTCACCAGATGCTGAGTCACGACGAGGCTGTGCCTGAGGAGGAGGTCCGTAGGCGTCTCAACTCCCTCGTCAACTCCGTCACCTCATCACCATCCTCTAGCAAGCGCAGCAAGGCACATGACGAGGTGGGTGGGTGGGTGGGTGAGTGGGTGGGTGGGTGAGTGGGTGCGTGGGTGGGTGGGTGGGTGAGTGGGTGAGTGCGTGGGTGGGTGGGTGGGTGAGTGGGTGGGTGGGTGAGTGGGTGAGTGAGTGGGTTTGTGAGTGGGTTTGTGAGTGGGTGGGTGAGTGGGTGGGTGAGTGGGTAAGTGAGTGGGTGGGTGAGTGGGTTTGTGAGTGGGTGAGTGAGTGGGTGGGTGGGTGAATTGGTGGGTGGGTGAGTGAGTGAGTGAGTTGGTGAGTGGGTGAGTGAGTGAGTGAGTGGGTGGGTGGGTGAGTGGGTGGGTGAGTGAGTGGGTGGGTGGGTGGGTGAGTGGGTGGGTGAGTGAGTGAGTGGGTGGGTGGGTGGGTGAGTGGGTGGGTGAGTGAGTGGGTGAATTGGAGGGTGAGGGGGTGAGTGATGAGACTCTATGCATCTCTACGGGTCTCCATGTATCTCTATGTATATCTATGTGTCTGTGTGTGTGTGTGTGTGTCTGTGTGTGTCTATGTGTGTGTGTCTGTGTGTGAGTGTGTGTGTCTGGCAAAACAACCCCCTACCTCCTCACGGTGCCGGACGGGCAACTCTGTCGTGGACAATGCTGTGGGGGGAGAGCCAATTCCGATTGGCTCCTCCCCTCATGGCGTCTGTGACCACCACAGGGGCTAAACAGGGGCTCTGGACGGGTGCGAGGGGCTGGTAACCCCTCCACCTTGAATTAATTACCACGAAACCACGACTGAAATATGTAACTAATAAGCTTGTGCCGGAGTTTGTAACAACTGCAGGGGCATCTCACTCCTCAGTGTCCCGGGAAAGGCCCTGGCAAGGATTATTCAATATCGCCTTGCCAGGCACGCTGAGGAGAGGCTTGCGGAGCCCCAATGCGGTTTCAGGAAAGGGCGGTCCTGCACAGATGCCATATTTTCTGTCCGTCTGCTACAGCAGAGGTGTAGGGAATTCCAGCAAGACCTACATCTCTGCTTTATTGACCTGGTCAAGGCCTATAATACCATCAGTAGGCCTGGGCTCTGGGTTGTTCTTCGTGCTTTTGGAGTACCTGACCCTCTGCTCACGATCATTAAGGACCTTCATGATGGTGAGCGGGCCCGGGTAAAACTACGTGGCCGGGAGTCAGAGCCATTCCCTGTACACCTTGGGGTGCGACAGGGATGTCCTCTGGCTCCCACATTATTTAACATCTATTTTGACCATGTAGTTCGTGAAGCCTTCAATAGCTGTACCGGGGGAATCTCCATATGCTACAGATATAATGGGAGGCTGATCGATGCGCGGGTGCGGTCAAGGGATGGCTCCCTATTGCTCAACCACGTTATGTATGCCGATGATTTGGTAATAGCTGCTCAGTCAGAGGAGGAGTTGGAGACGCTGCTGCTGAGACTGGAGCGTGCCATTAAGAGGTGGGGCCTTACCATCAGCCCCACCAAAACTAAGCAACTGCCTGGGTATTTTGTACCATCGGACACTCCACCCCCACAACTCCCAATCGGCGATGGGGCAGTTGTGTAGAGAGTGGAGAGTTTCCCATACCTGGGCAGTGTGCTTATGACTGGCTCCAGTTTAACAGCAGAGGTCTCACTCCGAATCAGTCGAGCGGCAATATCTTTTCATCGGTTGCGTAATGCTGTGTGGAAGCTACCTGGTCTGTCGCTCCGCACTAAGCTTCAGGTCTTCTCGACCACGGTCATTCCCTCCCTTCTCTACGCTTGCGAAACGTGGACCCCCCTAATGGAACATCTTCGCCGGTTAGAAACATTTAGGCTGGCCTGCCTACGATCTATCCTGGGTTTAACCTGAAGGCTGGATTGTGTGAGGAGCTCACAAATCCTTGAAAGATCTGGGCACGGTCCCATCGGTGATCTCCGGTGGGGAAGGCTGCGATGGCTGGGTCATTTAGCCCGCATGCCCAGCCACCGCATGCCGAAACAGCTTTTGATCGGCCGGATTGAGGGGGCTAAGTGGGCGCGGCACGGGCTAGAGAAGAGATGGAGTGATGTGGTACAGGAGGACGTGGAGCTGAGTGGACTTGCCGATGACTGGTACCAGCGGTGTCAAGATCGGCCTCTGTGGAGGAGGCTCGTGAAGGATGCTACTGGGCAGTTGGAGGCAGTCGCCCTCCAACAACAACGGAGGGCGGAGGAGCGACGCTCACAACAACGAGCGGAGCGCCGGGTGGCTAAAGCACAGCAGGTTGGCACAGTAGGGGGCACAGGTGGTGCATCAGCCAGTCATCTCAGTCAGTCGACCCGTGGCACCTGGGTCTGCCCCGTGACCTCCTGCCAGCGGGCGTTCGACACTCCACGTGGCCTCAGGGTGCACATAGCCTGGCACAAGCGTCGTGGTGACGTCACCGCCACTTAGTGGCGAATGGCGGTTGTTGTTGTCTATGTGTGTGTGTCTATGTGTGTGTGTGTGTTGTTGTTGTAACAGGTGAAGAATGTGTGTGAGTGTCGCCTGACGCTCCTCACACGCTTCTGGAAGTGTCAAATGAAGTCTCGGCCCTGCAGCCTCTGCAGGTGAGAGCAGCAATAACAACAACAACAATTACAACATCAACAACATCAACAACTTCATCATCAACAACATCAACAACATCATAAACAACAACAATTACAACATCAACAACAACATCAACATCAACAACTTCATCATCAACAACATCAACAACATCATCATCAACAACATCAACAACATCAACATCATCATCAACAACAACATCAACAACATCAACTTCATCAACAACAACAACATCATCAGCATCAACAACATCATCATCAACAACATCATCATCAACACCAACAACAACAACATCAACAACATCATCAACATCATCAACAACAACAACTTCATCAACATCATCATCAACAACACCAACATCATCATCAACAACATCAACATCAACAACATCAACATCATCGTCATCATCAACAACACCAACATCATCATCAACAACATCATCATCATCATCATCAACAACATCAACATCATCATCATCATCAACAACAACAACAACACCAACAACAACACCAACAACAACATCATCAACATCATCATCAACAACACCAACATCATAAACAACATCAACATCATCAACATCAACAACATCATCAACATCAACAACAACATCATCATCATCAACATCATCAACATCAACAACAACATCATCATCAACAACACCAACATCATAAACAACATCAACAACAACATCATCAACATCATCAACAACAACAACATCATCAACATCAACAACAACAACATCATCAACATCAACAACATCAACAACAACATCATCAACATCAACAACATCAACAACAACATCATCAACATCAACAACAACATCATCATCAACAACACCAACATCATAAACAACATGAACAACAACATCATCAACATCATAAACAACATCAACAACATCAACAACATCATCAACATCAACAACATCATCAACAACATCAACATCATCATCAACATCATCATCAACAACACCATCATCAACAACACCATCATCAACAACACCATCATCAACATCAACAACATCATCAACATCAACAACATCAACAACAACATCATCAACAACAACATCATCAACATCAACAACAACAACATGTCTCTTTTTGTTTGCATTCTGACTGCTTGTGTTGTGGTTATTGCAGACACGATGCCTTGAATAAAGGTGTCAGTTTTTTGTGTGCCAGTTAAAAGGGTAAAACCTATTTCTATAAGAATATTTCAGTTTTGTGTGCCAGTTAAAAGGGTAAAACCTATTTCTATAAGAATATTTCAGTTTTGTGTGCCGGTTAAAAGGGTAAAAACTATTCCTATATCTTGTTACTGGCAAAGGAGAGGTCTCATAATGTAAATGCTCACCCCGAGCCCTCAATAACTCTGATGGTGCGCTGTTTTTTGAGCTGTACGCCTTTTGGCGTCTTCTGGTCCAACACCAGCGGAGAGACTTAAAGGGGCTCTAAGAAAATCCGTCTCTGGTGTGGAACAATCAAATTCAAGGACAGTGCCAATATCATTATTATTATCAGAGTTGTCTTTATGTTTGTGTTTTTGACTGCTTGTGTTGTGGTTATTGCAGACACGACGCCTTGAATAAAGGTGTCAGTTTTTTTGTGCCGGTTAAAAGGGTAAAAACCTATTTCTATAAGAAGATTTGAGTTTTGTGTGCCAGTTAAAAGGGTAAAAACCTATTTCTATATGGAGATTTGAGTTTTGTCTGCCGGTTAAAAGGGTAAAAACCTATTACTATAATAATATTTCAGTTTTGTGTGCCAGTTAAAAGGGTAAAAACCTATTTCTATAAGGAGATTTGAGTTTTGTGTGCCGGTTAAAAGGGTAAAAACCTATTTCTATAAGGGAGATTTGAGTTTTGTGTGCCAGTTAAAAGGGTAAAAACCTATTTCTATAAGAAGATTTGAGTTTTGTTTGCCGGTTAAAAGGGTAAAAACCTATTCCTATAAGAATATTTAAGTTTTGTGTGCCAGTTAAAAGGGTAAAAACCTATTTCTATAAGAATATTTGAGTTTTGTGTGTGCCGGTTAAAAGGGTAAAAACCTATTTCTATAAGGAGATTTCAGTTTTGTGTGCCGGTTAAAAGGGTAAAACCTATTTCTATAAGAAGATTTGAGTTTTGTGTGCCAGTTAAAAGGGTAAAAACCTATTTCTATAAGAAAATTTCAGTTTTGTGTGCCAGTTAAAAGGGTAAAAACCTATTCCTATAAGAAGATTTGAGTTTTGTGTGCCAGTTAAAAGGGTAAAAACCTATTCCTATAAGAAGATTTGAGTTTTGTGTGCCAGTTAAAAGGGTAAAAACCTCATTTCTATAAGAAGATTTGAGTTTTGTGTGCCGGTTAAAAGGGTAAAAACCTATTCCTATAAGAATATTTCAGTTTTGTGTGTGCTGGTTAAAAGGGTAAAAACCTATTTCTATAAGGATATTTCAGTTTTGTGTGTGCCGGTTAAAAGGGTAAAAACCTATTTCTATAAGAAGATTTCAGTTTTGTGTGCCAGTTAAAAGGGTAAAAACCTATTTCCATAAGGGAGATTTCAGTTTTGTGTGCCAGTTAAAAGGGTAAAAACCTATTTCTATAAGAAGATTTCAGTTTTGTGTGCCAGTTAAAAGGGTAAAAACCTATTCCTATAAGAAGATTTGAGTTTTGTGTGCCGGTTAAAAGGGTAAAAACCTATTTCTATAAGAATATTTCAGTTTTTGTGTGCCAGTTAAAAGGGTAAAAACCTATTTCTATAAGGAGATTTCAGTTTTGTGTGCCAGTTAAAAGGGTAAAAACCTATTACTATAAGAAGATTTCAGTTTTGTGTGCCAGTTAAAAGGGTAAAAACCTATTTCTATAAGGAGATTTCAGTTTTGTGTGCCAGTTAAAAGGGTAAAAACCTATTTCTATAAGAAGATTTGAGTTTTGTGTGCCAGTTAAAAGGGTAAAACCTATTCCTATATCTTGTTACTGGCAAAGGAGAGGTCTCATAATGTAAATGCTCACCCCGAGCCCTCAATAACTCTGATAGTGCGCTGTTTTTTGAGCTGTACGCCTTTTGGCGTCTTCTGGTCCAACACCAGCGGAGAGACTTAAAGGGGCTCTAAGAAAAGCTGTCTCTGGTGTGGACCAATCAAATTCAAGGACAGTGCCAATATCATTATTATTATCAGAGTTGTCTTTATGTTTGTGTTTTTGACTGCTTGTGTTGTGGTTATTGAAGGTACGACGCCTTGAATAAAGGTGTCAGTTTTGTGTGTGCCGGTTAAAAGGGTAAACACCTATTTCTATAAGAAAATTTCAGTTTTGTGTGCCAGTTAAAAGGGTAAAAACCTATTCCTATAAGGATATTTCAGTTTTGTGTGCCAGTTAAAAGGGTAAAAACCTATTTCTATAAGAATATTTCAGTTTTGTGTGCCAGTTAAAAGGGTAAAAACCTATTTCTATAAGAAGATTTGAGTTTTGTGTGCCGGTTAAAAGGGTAAAAACCTATTTCTATAAGAATATTTCTGTTTTGTGTGTGCCGGTTAAAAGGGTTAAAACCTATTTCTATGAGAATATTTCAGTTTTGTGTGCCAGTTAAAAGGGTAAAACCTATTTCTATAAGAATATTTCAGTTTTGTGTGCCGGTTAAAAGGGTAAAAACCTATTTCTATAAGAATATTTCAGTTTTGTGTGCCAGTTAAAAGGGTAAAAACCTATTTCTATAAGAATATTTCAGTTTTGTGTGTGCTGGTTAAAAGTGTAAAAACCTATTTCTATAAGGAAATTTCAGTTTTGTGTGCCAGTTAAAAGGGTAAAAACCTATTCCTATAAGGAGATTTCAGTTTTGTGTGCCAGTTAAAAGGGTAAAAACCTATTTCTATAAGAAAATTTCAGTTTTGTGTGCCAGTTAAAAGGGTAAAAACCTATTCCTATAAGGATATTTCAGTTTTGTGTGCCAGTTAAAAGGGTAAAAACCTATTTCTATAAGAATATTTCAGTTTTGTGTGCCAGTTAAAAGGGTAAAAACCTATTTCTATAAGAAGATTTGAGTTTTGTGTGCCGGTTAAAAGGGTAAAAACCTATTTCTATAAGAATATTTCTGTTTTGTGTGTGCCGGTTAAAAGGGTTAAAACCTATTTCTATGAGAATATTTCAGTTTTGTGTGCCAGTTAAAAGGGTAAAACCTATTTCTATAAGAATATTTCAGTTTTGTGTGCCGGTTAAAAGGGTAAAAACCTATTTCTATAAGAATATTTCAGTTTTGTGTGCCAGTTAAAAGGGTAAAAACCTATTTCTATAAGAATATTTCAGTTTTGTGTGTGCTGGTTAAAAGTGTAAAAACCTATTTCTATAAGGAAATTTCAGTTTTGTGTGCCAGTTAAAAGGGTAAAAACCTATTCCTATAAGGAGATTTCAGTTTTGTGTGCCAGTTAAAAGGGTAAAAACCTATTTCTATAAGAATATTTCAGTTTTGTGTGCCGGTTAATAGGGTAAAAACCTATTTCTATAAGGAGATTTGAGTTTTGTGTGTGCCGGTTAAAAGGGTATAAACCTATTTCTATAAGAATATTTGAGTTTTGTGTGCCAGTTAAAAGGGTAAAAACCTATTTCTATAAGAAGATTTCAGTTTTTTGTGTGCCGGTTAAAAGGGTAAAAACCTATTTCTATAAGAAGATTTGAGTTTTGTGTGGCAGTTAAAAGGGTAAAAACCTATTTCTATACGAAGATTTCAGTTTTTTGTGTGCCGGTTAAAAGGGTAAAAACCTATTTCTATAAGAAGATTTGAGTTTTGTGTGCCAGTTAAAAGGGTAAAAACCTATTTCTATAAGAATATTTGAGTTTTGTGTGCCAGTTAAAAGGGTAAAAACCTATTTTTATAAGAATATTAAAGTTTTGTGTGCCGGTTAAAAGGGTAAAAACCTATTTCTATAAGAATATTTCAGTTTTGTGTGCCGGTTAAAAGGGTAAAAACCTATTTCTATAAGAATATTAAAGTTTTGTGTGCCGGTTAAAAGGGTAAAAACCTATTTCTATAAGGGAGATTTCAGTTTTGTGTGCCAGTTAAAAGGGTAAAAACCTCATTCCTATATCTTGTTACTGGCAAAGGAGGTCTCATAATGTAAACATCATCATCATCAACATCATGATCATCATGATCATCAACAACTTTGACCATACTTCACCACTCCCCGCCAGGGCTGGTAAGTTCACCGTCAGAAAAGAACACCACAGCAAGTTGATGGTCCGCTACCCTGGAGTGCGCTTGCAGCCTGCAAGGAGGAGCAAGTCCGTAACGTCTAATCCTGCGATGGAGACCATCACTGATGACATTGGTGAGTGGTGGGGGTGGGTGGTGGGTGGGTGAGTGGGTGGGTGAGTGAGTGGGTGGGTGGGTGGGTGAGTGAGTGGGTGGGTGAGTGGGTGAGTGGGTGGGTGAGTGAGTGGGTGGGTGGGTGGGTGAGTGAGTGGGTGGGTGAGTGGGTGAGTGGGTGGGTGAGTGGGTGAGTGGTGGGGTGGGTGGGGGGGTGGGTGAGTGGTGGGGTGGGTGGGGGGGTGGGTGAGTGAGTGGGTGGGTGGGTGAGTGAGTGGGTGGGTGAGTGAGTGAGTGAGTGGGTGGGTGAGTGAGTGAGTGGGTGGGTGAGTGAGTGGGTGAGTTGGTGGTTGAGTGAGTGGGTGAGTGAGTGGGTGGGTGAGTGGGTGAGTGAGTGGGTGGGTGAGTGGGTGGGTGAGTGGGTGGGTGGGTGGGTGAGTGGGTGGGTGAGTGAGTGGATGAGTGGGTGAGTGAGTGGGTGGGTGGGTGGGTGAGTGAGTGAGTGTGTGGTTGGGTGGGTGAGTGAGTGGGTGAGTTAGTGGTTGAGTGAGTGGGTGGGTGAGTGGGTGGGTGGGTGGGTAGGTGAGTGAGTGGGTGGGTGGGTGGGTCAGTGAGTGAGTGAGTGAGTGGGTGAGTGAGTGGGTGGGTAGGTGAGTGAGTGGGTGAGTGAGTGGTGAGTGTGTGGTGAGTATTTGGTGAGTGTGTGATTGTCCACCCCACAGCGGATGAGAAAGGGCAACAGTTACTCACACCCAGCGCTGTGAGGGAGCATGTGGTGAGGATCTGGGAGAATGAGGGTGAGTAACTCAGTCACCCACTCACCTACCCACTCACTCACTCACCCACCCACTCACTCACTCACCTACCTACCCACTCATCCACTCACTCACTCACCCACCCACTCGCTCACTCACCCACTCACTCACTCACTCGCTCACCTACTCACTCACTCACCTACCCACTCACTCACCCACTCACTCTCACTCACCCACTCACTCACTCACCCACCCACCCACTCACTCTCTCTCACCCACTCACCCACCCACCCACTCACTCACTCACTCACTCACCCACTCACTCACCCACTCACTCACTCGCCCACTCACCCACTCACCCACCCACTCACCTACCCACCCACTCACTCACCCACCCACTCACTCACTCACTCGCTCACCCACTCACTCACCCACTCACTCACCCACTCACTCACCCACTCACCCACTCACTCGCTCGCTCACTCGCTCACTCACTCGCTCACCCACCCACCCACTCACTCACTCACCCACCCACCCACCTACCCGCCCACTCACTCACCCACCCACTCACTCACTCACTCACCCACTCACTCACTCACCCACCCACCCCCTCGCTCACTCACTCACTCACTCGCTCACTCACTCGCTCACTCACTCACCCACTCACCCACTCACCCACCCACTCACCTACCCACCCACTCACTCACCCACCCACTCACTCACTCACTCGCTCACCCACTCACTCACCCACTCACTCACCCACTCACTCACCCACTCACCCACTCACTCGCTCGCTCACTCGCTCACTCACTCGCTCACCCACCCACCCACTCACTCACTCACCCACCCACCCACCCACTCACCCACTCACCCACCCACTCACCCACTCACTCACCCACTCACCCACTCACTCACTCACTCACCTCCTCACTCATCCACTCGCTCACCCACTCACTCGCCCACTCACTCGCTCACTCACCCACCCACTCACCCACTCACTCACTCACCCACCCACCCACTCACCCACTCACCCACTCGCCCACCCACTCACTCACTCATTCTGATGATACTGTGTGTGTGTGATGCTGTGTGTGTTTGAGAGACGCTGTGTGTGTGTGTGAGACGCTGTGTGTATGACGCTGTGTGTATGAGTCTGACACTGGGTGTATGACGCTGTGTTTATGACGCTGTGTGTGTGACGCAGGCAGTGTGCTGTGTGTGTGACACTGTGTGTGTGTGACACTGTGTATGACGCTGTGTGTATGACGCTGTGTGTGTGACGCAGGCGGTGTGCTGCTTGTGTGTGTGACATTGTGTGTGTGTGTGTAACACTGTGTGTGTGACGCTGTGTATGACACCGTGTGTGTGTGACACTGTATGTGTGACACTGCGTGTGTGTATGACGCTGTGTGTATGACACTGTGTATGATGCTGTGTGTGTGACACTGTGTATGACGCTGTGTGTGTATGACACTGTGTGTATAACACTGTGTGACACTGTGTGTATAACACTGTGTGTGACACTGTGTGTATTACACTGTGTGTATGATGCTGTGTATATGTAACACTGTGTGACACTGTGTGTATGTGTATGACGCTGTGTGTGTATGACGCTGTGTGTGTGTGACACTGTATTACACTGTATGTGTATGACGCTGTGTGTGTGACGCAGGCGGTGTGCTGCGTGTGTGACACTGTGTGTGTGTATGACGCTGTGTGTGTGTGACGCTGTGTGTGTATAACACTGTGTGTATAACACTGTGTGTGTACACTGTGTGTGTGTGTGACGCTGTGTGTGTGACACTGTGTGTGTGTATGACGCTGTGTGTGTGTGACGCTGTGTGTGTATGACACTGTGTGTATAACACTGTGTGTGTACACTGTGTGTGTGTGTGACGCTGTGTGTGACACTGTGTATATAACAGTGTGTGTGTGTATGACACTGTGTGTGTGACACTGTGTATGACGCTGTGTGTGTGACACTGTGTGTGTGACACTGTGTATGACGCTGTGTGTATGACGCTGTGTGTGTGACGCAGGCGGTGTGCTGCGTGTGTGTGACACTGTGTGTATAACACTGTGTGTATAACACTGTGTGTGTACACTGTGTGTGTGACACTGTGTGTATGACGCTGTGTGTATGATGCAGGCGGTGTGCTGCGTGTGTGACACTGTGTGTGACGCTGTGTGTGTGTATTACACTGTATGTGTATGACGCTGTGTGTGTGTAACACTGTATGACACTGTGTGTGTATGACGCTGTGTGTGTGTACACTGTGTGTGTGACGCTGTGTGTGTGACTCAGGCGGTGTGCTGCGTGTGTGACGCTGTGTGTGTATGACACTGTGTGTGTGTGACGCTGTGTGTATGACGCTGTGTGTGTGTGACGCTGTGTGTGTATAACACTGTGTGTGTGACACTGTGTGTGTGACACTGTGTGTATGACGCTGTGTGTATTGACGCAGGCGGTGTGCTGCGTGTGTGTGACACTGTGTGTGTATGACACTGTGTATAACACTGTGTGTATGACGCTGTGTGTGTGACACTGTGTGTGTGTATGACGCTGTGTGTATGACGCTGTGTGTATGACGCTGTGTGTATGACGCAGGCGGTGTGCTGCGTGTGTGACACTGTGTGTGTGACACTGTGTGTATGACGCTGTGTGTGTATGACGCTGTGTGTATGACACTGTGTGTGTATGATGCTGTGTGTGTGATGCAGGCGGTGTGCTGCGTGTGTGTGTGACACTGTGTGTATTACACTGTGTGTGTATGACGCTGTGTGTATATGATGCAGGCGGTGTGCTGCGTGTGTGTGTGACACTGTGTGTATTACACTGTGTGTGTGACGCTGTGTGTATGACACTGTGTGTGTGACGCTGTGTGTATGACGCTGTGTGTGTGACACTGTGTGTGTGACACTGTGTGTATGACACTGTGTGTGTGTATGATGCTGTGTGTATGACGCAGGCGGTGTGCTGCGTGTGTGTGTGTGACACTGTGTGTGTGTGTGTGTATGACACTGTGTGTGTATGACACTGTGTGTGTGTGATGCAGGCGGTGTGCTGCGTGTGTGTGTGTGACACTGTGTGTATGACACGGTGTGTATTACACTGTGTATAACACTGTGTATGACGCTGTGTGTATAACACTGTGTGTGTATGACGCTGTGTGTATGACGCAGGCGGTGTGCTGCGTGTGTATGACACTGTGTGTGTGACGCTGTGTGACACTGTATTACACTGTGTGTGTATGACGCTGTGTGTATGACGCTGTGTGTATGACGCTGTGTGTATGACGCTGTGTGTATGACGCAGGCGGTGTGCTGCGTGTGTATGACACTGTGTGTGTGACGCTGTGTGACACTGTATTACACTGTGTGTGTATGACGCTGTGTGTATGACGCTGTGTGTATGACGCTGTGTGTATGACGCAGGCGGTGTGCTGCGTGTGTGTGTGTGTGACACTGTGTGTATAACACTGTGTGTGTGTGTGACACTGTGTGTATGACGCTGTGTGTATTACACTGTGTGTGTATGACACTGTGTGTATGACACTGTGTGTGTGACACTGTGTGTGTGACACTGTGTGTATGACGCTGTGTGTATTACACTGTGTGTGTATGACACTGTGTGTATAACACTGTGTGTGTATGACGCTGTGTGTGTGTATGACACTGTGTGTGTGACACTGTGTGTGACGCTGTGTGTATGACACTGTGTGTGTGACACTGTGTGTGACACTGTGTGTACACTGTGTGTGTATGACGCTGTGTGTATGACGCTGTGTGTATGACGCAGGCGGTGTGCTGCGTGTGTGTGTGTGACACTGTGTGTATAACACTGTGTGTGTGTGTGACACTGTGTGTATGACGCTGTGTGTGTGACACTGTGTGTGTGACACTGTGTGTGTGACACTGTGTGTATTACACTGTGTGTGTATGACGCTGTGTGTATGACACTGTGTGTATGACACTGTGTGTGACACTGTGTGTATGACGCTGTGTGTATTACACTGTGTGTGTATGACACTGTGTGTATAACACTGTGTGTGTATGACGCTGTGTGTGTGTATGACACTGTGTGTGTGACACTGTGTGTGACGCTGTGTGTATGACACTGTGTGTGTGACACTGTGTGTGACACTGTGTGTGTACACTGTGTGTGTATGACGCTGTGTGTATGACGCTGTGTGTATGACGCAGGCGGTGTGCTGCGTGTGTGTGTGTGTGTGACACTGTGTGTATAACACTGTGTGTGTGTGTGACACTGTGTGTATGACGCTGTGTGTGTGACACTGTGTGTGTGACACTGTGTGTGTGACACTGTGTGTATTACACTGTGTGTGTATGACGCTGTGTGTATGACACTGTGTGTATGACACTGTGTGTGTGACACTGTGTGTATGACGCTGTGTGTATTACACTGTGTGTGTATGACACTGTGTGTATAACACTGTGTGTGTATGACGCTGTGTGTGTGTATGACACTGTGTGTGTGACACTGTGTGTATGACACTGTGTGTGTGACACTGTGTGTGACACTGTGTGTGTACACTGTGTGTGTATGACGCTGTGTGTGTGACACTGTGTGTATAACGCTGTGTGTATGACGCTGTGTGTGTGACGCAGGCGGTGTGCTGCGTGTGTGTGTGTGTGACACTGTGTGTATAACACTGTGTGTATGACACTGTGTGTGTGTGTGACACTGTGTGTATGTGTGACACTGTATAACACTGTGTGTGTATGACGCTGTGTGTATGATGCAGGCGGTGTGCTGCGTGTGTGTGTGTGTGACACTGTGTGTGTGACACTGTGTGTGTGACACTGTGTGTATGACGCTGTGTGTATGACGCTGTGTGTATAACACTGTGTGTGTATATGACGCTGTGTGTATGATGCAGGCGGTGTGCTGCGTGTGTGTGTGTGTGACACTGTGTGTGTGACACTGTGTGTGTGACACTGTGTGTATGACGCTGTGTGTATGACGCTGTGTGTATAACACTGTGTGTGTATGACGCTGTGTGTATGATGCAGGCGGTGTGCTGCGTGTGTGTGTGTGTGACACTGTGTGTGTGACACTGTGTGTGTGACACTGTGTGTATGACGCTGTGTGTATAACACTGTGTGTATGACACTGTGTGTGTGTGTGACACTGTGTGTATGTGTGACACTGTATAACACTGTGTGTGTGTATGACGCTGTGTGTATGACGCAGGCGGTGTGCTGCGTGTGTGTGTGTGTGACACTGTGTGTGTGACACTGTGTGTGTGACACTGTGTATGACGCTGTGTGTATGACACTGTGTGTATGACGCTGTGTGTATAACACTGTGTGTATGACACTGTGTGTATGACACTGTGTGTGTATGACGCTGTGTGTATGACACTGTGTGTATGACGCTGTGTGTGTGTGATGCAGGCGGTGTGCTGCGTGTGTGTGTGTGACACTGTGTGTGTGTGTGACACTGTGTGTACACTGTGTGTGTGTGACACTGTGTGTGTGACACTGTGTGTATAACGCTGTGTGTATAACACTGTGTGTGTGTGTGACACTGTGTGTATGTGTGACACTGTATAACACTGTGTGTGTATGACGCTGTGTGTATAACGCAGGCGGTGTGCTGCGTGTGTGTGTATGACGCTGTGTGTGTATGACACTGTGTGTGTGACACTGTGTATGATGCTGTGTGTGACGCTGTGTGTATGACACTGTGTGTGTGACACTGTGTGTGTATAACACTGTGTGTGACGCTGTATGACACTGTATTACACTGTGTGTGTATGACGCTGTGTGTATGATGCTGTGTGTGACGCTGTGTGTATGACGCTGTGTGTGTGACACTGTGTGTATGACACTGTGTGTATGACACTGTGTGTATGACGCTGTGTGTATGACACTGTGTGTATGACACTGTATAACACTGTGTGTGTATGACGCTGTGTGTATAACGCAGGCGGTGTGCTGCGTGTGTGTGTATGACGCTGTGTGTGTATGACACTGTGTGTGTGACACTGTGTATGATGCTGTGTGTGACGCTGTGTGTATGACACTGTGTGTGTGACACTGTGTGTGTATAACACTGTGTGTGACGCTGTATGACACTGTATTACACTCTGTGTGTATGACGCTGTGTGTATGATGCTGTGTGTGACGCTGTGTGTATGACGCTGTGTGTGTGACACTGTGTGTGTGGCACTGTGTGTATGACACTGTGTGTATGACACTGTGTGTATGACGCTGTGTGTATGACACTGTGTGTATGACACTGTATAACACTGTGTGTGTATGACGCTGTGTGTATAACGCAGGCGGTGTGCTGCGTGTGTGTGTATGACGCTGTGTGTGTATGACACTGTGTGTGTGACACTGTGTATGATGCTGTGTGTGACGCTGTGTGTATGACACTGTGTGTGTGACACTGTGTGTGTATAACACTGTGTGTGACGCTGTATGACACTGTATTACACTGTGTGTGTATGACGCTGTGTGTATGATGCTGTGTGTGACGCTGTGTGTATGACGCTGTGTGTATGATGCTGTGTGTATGACGCTGTGTGTATGACGCTGTGTGTATGATGCTGTGTGTGACGCTGTGTGTATGACGCTGTGTGTGTGACACTGTGTGTGTGGCACTGTGTGTATGACACTGTGTGTATGACACTGTGTGTATGACGCTGTGTGTATGACACTGTGTGTATGACACTGTATAACACTGTGTGTGTATGACGCTGTGTGTATGACGCAGGCGGTGTGCTGCGTGTGTGTGTGTGTGACACTGTGTGTATGACACTGTGTGTATGACGCTGTGTGTATGACGCAGGTGGTGTGCTGCGTGTGCTGTTTGCCGGCGTTGAGGCGTCTCAGCCCAGCAAGGGTTGGGCCCCAGAAGTCTTCTTCCTGGACCTGTTGCCAGTTCCTCCTTGCAGGTGGGGGGGGGGGGGGGGGTGTGGGGGTGGGGGGGGGTAGTGGGGGGGGATGGTGGGGGGGTGGGGGGGGGTGGGGGGGGTAGTGGGGGGGGATGGTGGGGGGGTGGGGGGGGTGGGGGTGACTGAGTGACTGAGTGAGTGAGTGACTGAGTGAGTGACTGAGTGAGTGACTGACTGAGTGACTGACTGAGTGACTGAGTGAGTGACTGAGTGAGTGACTGACTGAGTGACTGAGTGAGTGACTGAGTGAGTGACTGACTGAGTGACTGAGTGAGTGACTGAGTGAGTGACTGAGTGAGTGACTGACTGAGCGACTGAGTGAGTGACTGAGTGAGTGACTGAGTGAGCGACTGAGTGAGCGACTGAGTGAGCGACTGACTGAGCGACTGAGTGAGCGACTGAGTGAGCGACTGAGCGAGCGACTGACCGAGCGACTGAGCGAGCGACTGAGCGAGCGACTGAGCGAGCGACTGAGCGAGCGACTGAGCGAGCGACTGAGCGAGCGACTGAGCGAGCGACTGAGTGAGTGACTGAGTGAGTGAGTGACTGACTGAGTGACTGAGTAAGCTACTGAGTGACTGACTGAGTGAGTGACTGAGTGAGTGACTGACTGAGCGACTGAGTGAGTGACTGAGTGAGTGACTGAGTGAGTGACTGAGTGAGTGACTGAGTGAGCGACTGAGTGAGTGACTGAGTGAGTGACTGACTGAGCGACTGAGTGAGTGACTGAGTGAGCGACTGAGCGAGCGACTGAGCGAGTGACTGAGCGAGTGACTGAGCGAGTGACTGAGCGAGCGACTGAGTGAGCGACTGAGTGAGCGACTGAGTGAGTGACTGAGTGAGCGACTGAGTGAGTGACTGAGTGAGTGACTGAGTGAGTGACTGAGTGAGTGACTGACTGAGTGAGTGACTGTCTGAGTGACTGAGTAAGCTACTGAGTGACTGACTGAGTGAGTGACTGAGTGAGTGACTGAGTGAGTGACTGAGTAAGCTACTGAGTGAGTGACTGAGTGACTGAGTGAGTGACTGACTGAGTGAGTGACTGAGTGAGTGACTGAGTGAGTGACTGAGTGAGTGACTGAGTGAGTGACTGAGTGAGTGAGTGACTGAGTGAGTGACTGAGTGAGTGACTGAGTAAGCTACTGAGTGAGTGACTGAGTGACTGAGTGAGTGACTGACTGAGTGAGTGACTGAGTGAGTGACTGAGTGAGTGACTGAGTGACTGACTGAGTGAGTGACTGAGTGAGTGACTGAGTGAGTGACTGAGTGAGTGACTGACTGAGTGAGTGACTGAGTGAGTGCCTGAGTGAGTGACTGAGTGAGTGACTGAGTGAGTGACTGAGCGAGCGACTGAGCGAGTGACTGACTGAGTGAGTGACTGAGTGAGTGACTGAGTGAGTGACTGAGTGAGTGACTGAGCGAGCGACTGAGCGAGTTACTGAGCGAGTGACTGAGCGAGTGACTGACTGAGTGACTGACTGAGTGAGTGACTGAGTGAGTGACTGAGTGAGTGACTGAGTGAGTGACTGAGCGAGTGACTGACTGAGTGACTGACTGAGTGAGTGACTGACTGAGTGAGTGACTGAGTGAGTGACTGAGTGAGTGACTGAGTGAGTGACTGAGTGAGTGACTGACTGAGTGACTGACTGAGTGAGTGACTGAGTGAGTGACTGAGTGAGTGACTGAGTGAGTGACTGAGTGAGTGACTGACTGAGTGAGTGACTGAGTGAGTGACTGAGCGAGCGACTGAGCGAGTGACTGAGTGAGTGAGCGAGAGACTGAGTGAGTGACTGACTGAGTGACTGAGCGAGTGACTGAGTGAGTGAGCGAGAGACTGAGTGAGTGACTGACTGAGTGACTGACTGAGTGAGTGACTGAGTGAGTGACTGAGTGAGTGAGCGACTGAGCGAGTGACTGAGCGAGTGACTGAGTGAGTGACTGAGTGAATGACTGAGTGAGTGACTGAGTGAGCGAGAGACTGATCGACTGAGCGAGAGACTGAGTGAGTGACTGACTGAGTGAGTGACTGAGTGAGTGACTGAGTGAGTGACTGAGTGAGCGACTGAGTGAGTGACTGAGTGAGCGACTGAGTGAGTGACTGAGTGAATGACTGAGTGAGTGAGTGACTGAGTGAGTGACTGAGTGACTGACTGAGCGAGTGACTGAGCGAGCTGGTGAGTGATCTGGTGAGTGAGCGAGTGAGTGAGTGATCTGGTGAGTGAGCGAGCTGGTGAGGGAATTGGTGAGTGACGTGGTGAGTGACGTGGTGAGGTGGTGATTGACGTGGTGAGTGAGTGACGTGGTGAGTGAGTGAGCGAGGTGGTGAGTGAGTGACGTGGTGAGTGACGTGGTGAGTGAGTGAGTGACGTGGTGAGTGAGGTGGTGAGTGAGTGAGTGACGTGGTGAGTGAGTGACGTGGTGAGTGACGTGGTGAGTGAGTGAGTGAGTGACGTGGTGAGTGAGTGAGTGACATGGTGAGTGAGTGACGTGGTGAGTGAGTGAGTGAGTGACGTGGTGAGTGAGTGAGTGACGTGGTGAGTGAGTGACGTGGTGAGTGAGTGAGTGACGTAGTGAGTGAGTGAGTGACGTGGTGAGGTGGTGAGCGAGGTGGTGAGTGAGTGAGTGACGTGGTGAGTGAGCGAGGTGGTGAGTGACGTGGTGAGTGACGTGGTGAGTGAGTGAGTGACGTGGTGAGTGACATGGTGAGTGAGTGAGTGACGTGGTGAGTGAGTGACGTGGTGAGTGAGTGAGTGACGTAGTGAGTGACGTGGTGAGTGAGTGAGTGACGTAGTGAGTGAGTGACGTGGTGATTGAGTGACGTGGTGAGGTGGTGAGCGAGGTGGTGAGTGAGTGACGTGGTGAGTGAGTGAGTGACGTGGTGAGTGAGTGAGTGACGTGGTGAGTGAGTGACGTGTTGAGTGAGGTGGTGAGTGAGTGAGTGACGTGGTGAGCGAGGTGGTGAGTGAGTGAGGTGGTGAGTGAGTGAGGTGGTGAGTGAGTGAGGTGGTGAGTGAGTGACGTGGTGAGTGAAGTGGTGAGTGAGTGACGTGGTGAGTGAGTGAGGTGGTGAGTGAGGTGGTGAGTGAGGTGGTGAGTGAGGTGGTGAGTGAGGTGGTGAGTGAGTGACTGTTGCCCAGGTTCCGCCCTGTTAACAAGATGGGTGATAAGGGGTGTTCATGAACGTGGTGAGTGACGTGGTGAGTGATGTGGTGAGTGAGTGACGTGGTGAGTGAGTGACTTGGTGAGTGAGTGAGTGAGTGACGTGGTGAGTGACGTGGTGAGCGAGGTGGTGAGTGAGGTGGTGAGTGAGTGACTGTTGCCCAGGTTCCGCCCAGTTAACAAGATGGGTGATAAGGTGTTCATGAACGTGGTGAGTGACGTGGTGAGTGAGTGACGTGGTGAGTGAGGTGGTGAGTGAGTGACGTGGTGAGTGACGTGGTGAGTGAGTGAGTGAGGTGGTGAGTGACGTGGTGAGTGACGTGGTGAGTGAGTGAGTGACGTGGTGAGTGACGTGGTGAGTGAGTGACGTGGTGAGTGAGGTGGTGAGTGACTGACTGAGTGAGTGACTGAGTGAGTGACTGAGTGAGTGACTGAGTGAGTGACTGAGTGAGTGACTGACTGAGTGACTGACTGAGTGAGTGACTGAGTGAGTGACTGAGTGAGTGACTGAGTGAGTGACTGAGTGAGTGACTGAGTGAGTGACTGAGTGAGTGACTGACTGAGTGAGTGACTGAGTGAGTGACTGAGCGAGCGACTGAGCGAGTGACTGAGTGAGTGAGCGAGAGACTGAGTGAGTGACTGACTGAGTGACTGAGCGAGTGACTGAGTGAGTGAGCGAGAGACTGAGTGAGTGACTGACTGAGTGACTGACTGAGTGACTGACTGAGTGAGTGACTGAGTGAGTGACTGAGTGAGTGAGCGACTGAGCGAGTGACTGAGCGAGTGACTGAGTGAGTGACTGAGTGAATGACTGAGTGAGTGACTGAGTGAGCGAGAGACTGATCGACTGAGCGAGAGACTGAGTGAGTGACTGACTGAGTGAGTGACTGAGTGAGTGACTGAGTGAGTGACTGAGTGAGCGACTGAGTGAGTGACTGAGTGAGCGACTGAGTGAGTGACTGAGTGAATGACTGAGTGAGTGAGTGACTGAGTGAGTGACTGAGTGACTGACTGAGCGAGTGACTGAGCGAGCTGGTGAGTGATCTGGTGAGTGAGCGAGTGAGTGAGTGATCTGGTGAGTGAGCGAGCTGGTGAGGGAATTGGTGAGTGACGTGGTGAGTGACGTGGTGAGGTGGTGATTGACGTGGTGAGTGAGTGACGTGGTGAGTGAGTGAGCGAGGTGGTGAGTGAGTGACGTGGTGAGTGACGTGGTGAGTGAGTGAGTGACGTGGTGAGTGAGGTGGTGAGTGAGTGAGTGACGTGGTGAGTGAGTGACGTGGTGAGTGACGTGGTGAGTGAGTGAGTGAGTGACGTGGTGAGTGAGTGAGTGACATGGTGAGTGAGTGACGTGGTGAGTGAGTGAGTGAGTGACGTGGTGAGTGAGTGAGTGACGTGGTGAGTGAGTGACGTGGTGAGTGAGTGAGTGACGTAGTGAGTGAGTGAGTGACGTGGTGAGGTGGTGAGCGAGGTGGTGAGTGAGTGAGTGACGTGGTGAGTGAGCGAGGTGGTGAGTGACGTGGTGAGTGACGTGGTGAGTGAGTGAGTGAGTGACGTGGTGAGTGACATGGTGAGTGAGTGAGTGACGTGGTGAGTGAGTGACGTGGTGAGTGAGTGAGTGACGTAGTGAGTGACGTGGTGAGTGAGTGAGTGACGTAGTGAGTGAGTGACGTAGTGAGTGAGTGACGTGGTGATTGAGTGACGTGGTGAGGTGGTGAGCGAGGTGGTGAGTGAGTGACGTGGTGAGTGAGTGAGTGACGTGGTGAGTGAGTGAGTGACGTGGTGAGTGAGTGACGTGTTGAGTGAGGTGGTGAGTGAGTGAGTGACGTGGTGAGCGAGGTGGTGAGTGAGTGAGGTGGTGAGTGAGTGAGGTGGTGAGTGAGTGAGGTGGTGAGTGAGTGAGGTGGTGAGTGACATGGCGAGTGACGTGGTGAGTGAGTGACGTGGTGAGTGAGGTGGTGAGTGAGTGACGTGGTGAGTGAGTGAGGTGGTGAGTGAGGTGGTGAGTGAGGTGGTGAGTGAGGTGGTGAGTGAGGTGGTGAGTGAGTGACTGTTGCCCAGGTTCCGCCCTGTTAACAAGATGGGTGATAAGGGGTGTTCATGAACGTGGTGAGTGACGTGGTGAGTGATGTGGTGAGTGAGTGACGTGGTGAGTGAGTGACTTGGTGAGTGAGTGAGTGAGTGACGTGGTGAGTGACGTGGTGAGCGAGGTGGTGAGTGAGGTGGTGAGTGAGTGACTGTTGCCCAGGTTCCGCCCAGTTAACAAGATGGGTGATAAGGTGTTCATGAACGTGGTGAGTGACGTGGTGAGTGAGTGACGTGGTGAGTGAGGTGGTGAGTGAGTGACGTGGTGAGTGACGTGGTGAGTGAGTGAGTGAGGTGGTGAGTGACGTGGTGAGTGACGTGGTGAGTGAGTGAGTGACGTGGTGAGTGACGTGGTGAGTGACGTGGTGAGTGAGTGAGTGACGTGGTGAGTGAGGTGGTGAGTGAGTGAGTGACGTGGTGAGTGACGTGGTGAGTGACTGTGTTGTCCAGGTTCCGCCCCGTTAACAAGATGGGTGACAAGGTGTTCATGAACGTGGTGAGTGACGTGGTGAGTGAGTGACGTGGTGAGTGAGTGAGTGACGTGGTGAGTGAGTGACGTGGTGAGTGACGTGGTGAGTGACGTGGTGAGTGACGTGGTGAGTGAGTGAGGTGGTGAGTGAGTGACGTGGTGAGTGACATGGTGAGTGACGTGGTGAGTGAGTGACCTGTTGAGTGAGTGAGGGACGTGGTGAGTGACGTGGTGAGTGACGTGGTGAGTGACGTGGTGAGTGACGTGGTGAGTGACGTGGTGAGTGAGTGACTGTGTTGCCCAGGTTCCGCCCCGTTAACAAGATGGGTGATAAGGTGTTCATGAACGTGGTGAGTGACGTGGTGAGTGAGGTGGTGAGTGACGTGGTGAGTGACGTGGTGAGTGAGTGAGTGACGTGGTGAGTGAGTGAGTGACGTGGTGAGTGAGGTAGTGAGTGAGTGAGTGAGTGACGTGGTGAGCGAGGTGGTGAGTGACGTGGTGAGTGACGTGGTGAGTGACGTGGTGAGTGAGTGAGGTGGTGAGTGAGTGACGTGGTGAGTGAGGTGGTGAGTGAGGTGGTGAGTGAGTGAGTGACATGGTGAGTGACGTGGTGAGTGAGTGACGTGGTGAGTGACGTGGTGAGTGAGGTGGTGAGTGAGTGACGTGGTGAGTGAGGTGGTGAGTGAGTGACGTGGTGAGTGACGTGGTGAGTGACGTGGTGAGTGAGTGAGTGACGTGGTGAGTGAGTGAGTGACGTGGTGAGTGACGTGGTGAGTGACGTGGTGAGTGACGTGGTGAGTGACGTGGTGAGTGAGTGAGTGACGTGGTGAGTGACGTGGTGAGTGACGTGCTGAGTGACGTGGTGAGTGAGTGAGTGACGTGGTGAGTGAGTGAGTGAGTGACGTGGTGAGTGAGTGAGTGACGTGGTGAGTGAGGTGGTGAGTGATGTGGTGAGTGAGTGAGTGACGTGGTGAGTGAGTGAGTGAGTGACTTGGTGAGTGAGTGAGTGAGTGACTTGGTGAGTGAGTGAGTGACGTGGTGAGTGACGTGGTGAGTGACGTGGTGAGTGACGTGGTGAGTGACGTGGTGAGTGACGTGGTGAGTGAGTGACGTGGTGGTGACGTGGTGAGTGACGTGGTGAGTGAGGTGGTGAGTGAGTGAGTGACGTGGTGAGTGACGTGGTGAGTGAGGTGGTGAGTGAGTGACGTGGTGAGTGAGGTGGTGAGTGAGTGACGTGGTGAGTGACGTGGTGAGTGACGTGGTGAGTGACGTGGTGAGTGAGTGAGTGAGGTGGTGAGTGATGTGGTGAGTGAGTGACTTGGTGAGTGAGTGACGTGGTGAGTGACGTGGTGAGTGAGTGAGTGACGTGGTGAGTGACGTGGTGAGTGAGTGACGTGGTGAGTGAGGTGGTGAGTGAGTGACGTAGTGAGTGACGTGGTGAGTGACGTGGTGAGTGACGTAGTGAGTGACGTGGTGAGTGACGTGGTGAGTGACGTGGTGAGTGACGTGGTGAGTGAGTGACGTGGTGAGTGACGTGGTGAGTGACGTGGTGAGTGACGTGGTGAGTGACGTGGTGAGTGACTGTGTTGTCCAGGTTCTGCCCCGTTAACAAGATGGGTGACAAGGTGTTCATGAACGTGGTGAGTGATGTGGTGAGTGAGTGACGTGGTGAGTGAGGTGGTGAGTGAGTGACGTGGTGAGTGACGTGGTGAGTGAGTGAGTGACGTGGTGAGTGAGGTGGTGAGTGAGTGACGTGGTGAGTGAGGTGGTGAGTGAGTGACGTGGTGAGTGAGTGAGTGACGTGGTGAGTGACGTGGTGAGTGACGTGGTGAGTGACGTGGTGAGTGACGTGGTGAGTGAGTGACGTGGTGAGTGACGTGGTGAGTGAGTGAGTGAGTGACGTGGTGAGTGAGGTGGTGAGTGACGTGGTGAGTGAGGTGGTGAGTGAGTGACGTGGTGAGTGAGGTGGTGAGTGAGTGACGTGGTGAGTGAGTGAGTGACGTGGTGAGTGACGTGGTGAGTGACGTGGTGAGTGACGTGGTGAGTGAGTGACGTGGTGAGTGACGTGGTGAGTGAGTGACGTGGTGAGTGAGGTGGTGAGTGACGTGGTGAGTGAGGTGGTGAGTGAGTGACGTGGTGAGTGAGGTGGTGAGTGAGTGACGTGGTGAGTGAGTGAGTGACGTGGTGAGTGACGTGGTGAGTGACGTGGTGAGTGACGTGGTGAGTGAGTGACGTGGTGAGTGACGTGGTGAGTGAGTGAGTGACGTGGTGAGTGAGGTGGTGAGTGACGTGGTGAGTGAGGTGGTGAGTGAGTGACGTGGTGAGTGACGTGGTGAGTGATGTGGTGAGTGAGTGAGTGACTGTGTTGCCCAGGTTCCGCCCCATTAACAAGATGGGTGACAAGGTGTTCATGAACGGGCAGACGGCAAATCTGCAAGCGGTGATCAAAGCGGCCTGCACCATCACACGCATCCTGTCGCTCACCGCTAGCAAGCCACACCTCACCAATACACTCACCAGCGACGAGGTGAGTGGGTGGGTGAGTGAGTGGGTGGGTGGGTGAGTGGGTGGGTGGGTGAGTGGGTGGGTGGGTGGGTGAGTGGGTGGGTGGGTGGGTGAGTGGGTGGGTGGGTGAGTGGGTGAGTGAGTGAGTGGGTGAGTGGGTGGGTGAGTGAGTGGGTGAGTGGGTGGGTGAGTGGGTGGGTGGGTGAGTGAGTGAGTGGGTGAGTGAGTGAGTGAGTGGTTGGGTGGGTGAGTGGGTGGGTGGGTGAGTGGGTGGGTGGGTGAGTGGGTGAGTGAGTGAATGGGTGGGTGGGTGGGTGAGTGGGTGGGTGGGTGGGTGAGTAGTTGGGTGTGTGGGTGGGTGAGTGGGTGGGTGGGTGAGTGAGTGAGTGGGTGGGTGAGTGGGTGGGTGGGTGGGTGGGTGAGTGAGTGGGTGGGTGGGTGGGTGGATAGGTGGGTGGGTGGATAGGTGAGTGGGTGGGTGTGTGAGTGGGTGGGTGGGTGAGTGAGTGGGTGGGTGGGTGGATAGGTGAGTGGGTGGGTGGGTGAGTGAGTGAGTGAGTGGGTGAGTGACTGACGAGTGACTGAGTGACTGAGCGACTGAGTGACTGACTGACTGACTGAGTGACTGACTGAGCGAGTTACTGAGTGAGTGACTGACTGAGTGACTGAGAGAGTGAGTGACTGAGTGAGTGACTGAGTGACTGAGTAAGTGAGTGACTGACTGAGCGATTGAGTGAGTTACTGAGTGAGTGAGTGACTGAGAGAGTGAGTGACTGAGTGAGTGACTGACTGACTGACTGAGTGAGTGACTGACTGAGTGAGCGACTGAGTGAGTGAGTGACTGACTGAGTGAGTGACTGACTGAGTGACTGACTGAGTGACTGACTGAGTGACTGAGTGAGCGACTGAGTGAGTGACTGAGTGAGTGACTGAGTGAGTTACTGAGTGACTGACTGAGTGACTGAGTGACTGACGGAGTGACTGAGTGACTGAATGAACGAGTGACTGACTGAGTGACTGAGTGACTGAGTGGGTGACTGAGCGACTGAGTGAGTGACTGAGTGACTGACTGAGTGACTGACTGAGTGACTAATTGACTGAGTGAGTGACTGAGTGAGTGACTGAGTGAGTGACTGAGTGACTGACTGACTGACTGAGTGACTGAGTGAGTTACAGAGTGACTGACTGAGTGACTGACTGAGTGACTAATTGACTGAGTGAGTGACTGAGTGAGTGACTGAGTGAGTGACTGAGTGACTGACTGAGTGACTGAGTGAGTTACTGACTGAGTGACTGAGTGACTGAGTGAGTGACTGACTGACTGAGTGACTGACTGAGCGAGCGACTGAGCGACTGAGTGACTGACTGAGTGACTGACTGACTGAGTGACTGACCAAGCGACTGACTGACTGACTGAGTGACTGACTGACTGACTGAGTGAGTGACTGAGTGAGCGACTGAGCGAGCGGTCCGCCTCCCATCCAACAGCGGACTGTCCCTGCCGCTGCCGCTGATGATGACGATGATGATGCAGCTGATCGCTCCTTCCTGGCTGCCATCCCCGGCCTGGACCTCTCCTCCAAGCTGCACTCCGCATGGGGCCGGCTGCAGCTGCTGGTCAACGTCGCCTTTGACAGCGAGCTAGATCGTACACTCACAGACAAACACCCCGGTGTTAAACAGGTGATCACTCGCTCAGTCGTTCACTCAGTCAGTCAGTCAGTCACTCACTCAATCACTCGCTCAGTCACTCAGTCAGTCGTTCACTCGCTCAGTCACTCACTCAGTCAACGTTGCCTTTGACAGCGAGCTAGATCGTACACTCACAGACAAACACCCCGGTGTGAAACAGGTGATCACCTCAGTCGTTCACTCAGTCACTCAGTAACTCGCTCAGTCACTCAGTCACTCAGTCACTCAGTCAGTCAGTCACTCACTCAGTCAGTCAACGTCGCCTTTGACAGCGAGCTCGACCGTACACTCACAGATAAACACCCCGGTGTTAAACAGGTGATCACTCACTCAGTCACTCAGTCACTCAGTCACTCACTCAGCCACTCGCTCAGTCGTTCATTCACTGAGTCACTCGCTCAGTCACTCATTCGCTCAGTCACTCAGTCACTCAGTCAGTCGCTCGCTCACTCAGTCACTCACTCAGTCACTCAGTCACTCAGTCAGTCAGTCACTCAGTCAGTCAACGTCGCCTTTGACAGCGAGCTAGACCGTACACTCACAGACAAACACCCCGGTGTGAAACAGGTGATCACTCGTTCAGTCACTCAGTCAGTCACTCAGTCAGTCACTCAGTCAGTCAGTCAGTCAACGTTGCCTTTGACAGCGAGCTAGACCGTACACTCACGGATAAACACCCCGGTGTTAAACAGGTGATCACTCACTCAGTCGTTCACTCACTCAGTCACTCAGTCGTTCAGTCACTCACTCAGTCACTCAGTCACTCAGTCAGTCACTCAGTCAGTCACTCGCTCAGTCACTCAGTCAGTCAACGTTGCCTTCGACAGCGAGCTCGACCGTACACTCACAGATAAACACCCCGGTGTTAAACAGGTGATCACTCGTTCAGTCACTCACTCAGTCGCTCACTCAGTCAGTCACTCAGTCACTCAGTCAGTCACTCAGTCAGTCAGTCACTCAGTCACTCAGTCACTCAGTCAGTCACTCAGCCACTCGCTCAGTCAACGTCGCCTTCGACAGCGAGCTAGATCGTACACTCACTGATAAACACCCCGGTGTGAAACAGGTGATCACTCACTCAGTCACTCAGTCAGTCACTCAGTCACTCAGTCAGTCACTCAGTCACTCAGTCAGTCACTCAGTCACTCAGTCACTCAGTCAGTCAACGTCGCCTTCGACAGCGAGCTAGATCGTACACTCACTGATAAACACCCCGGTGTTAAACAGGTGATCAATCACTCAGTCACTCAGTCACTCAGTCACTCACTCAGTCACTCAGTCACTCACTCAGTCACTCAGTCAGTCACTCACTCACTCACTCAGTCACTCACTCAGTCACTCAGTCACTCACTCAGTCAGTCAACGTTGCCTTTGACAGCGAGCTCGACCGTACACTCACTGATAAACACCCCGGTGTGAAACAGGTGATCACCTCAGTCGTTCACTCAGTCACTCAGTAACTCGCTCAGTCACTCAGTCACTCAGTCAGTCAGTCACTCAGTCAGTCAGTCAACGTCGCCTTTGACAGCGAGCTCGACCGTACACTCACAGACAAACACCCCGGTGTGAAACAGGTGATCACTCGCTCAGTCACTCGCTCAGTCAGTCAACGTTGCCTTTGACAGCGAGCTAGATCGTACACTCACTGATAAACACCCCGGTGTTAAACAGGTGATCACTCGCTCAGTAACTCAGTCACTCAGTCACTCACTCAGCCACTCGCTCAGTCGTTCATTCACTGAGTCACTCGCTCAGTCACTCACTCACTCAGTCACTCAGTCAGTCACTCAGTCACTCAGTCAGTCAACGTCGCCTTTGACAGCGAGCTAGACCGTACACTCACGGACAAACACCCCGGTGTGAAACAGGTGATCACTCGTTCAGTTACTCAGTCAGTCACTCAGTCACTCAGTCAGTCGTTCACTCGCTCAGTCACTCACTCACTCAGTCACTCAGTCAGTCACTCAGTCAGTCGTTCAGTCACTCACTCAGTCACTCAGTCACTCAGTCAGTCACTCAGTCAGTCACTCGCTCAGTCACTCAGTCAGTCAACGTTGCCTTTGACAGCGAGCTAGACCGTACACTCACAGATAAACACCCCGGTGTTAAACAGGTGATCACTCGTTCAGTCGTTCAGTCACTCACTCAGTCGCTCAGTCACTCAGTCACTCGCTCAGTCACTCAGTCACTCGCTCAGTCACTCAGTCACTCAGTCAACGTTGCCTTTGACAGCGAGCTAGACCGTACCCTCACAGATAAACACCCCGGTGTTAAACAGGTGATCACCTCAGTCGTTCACTCAGTCAGTCAGTCAGTCACTCGCTCAGTCGCTCAGTCACTCGCTCAGTCACTCGCTCAGTAACTCAGTCACTCGCTCAGTCACTCACTCAGTCAGTCACTCAGTCGTTCACTTGCTCAGTCGTTCACTCGCTCAGTCACTCAGTCACTCACTCAGTCACTCAGTCAGTCAACGTTGCCTTTGACAGCGAGCTAGATCGTACACTCACAGATAAACACCCCGGTGTTAAACAGGTGATCACTCGCTCAGTCACTCAGTCACTCAGTCACTCACTCAGCCACTCGCTCAGTCGTTCATTCACTGAGTCACTCGCTCAGTCACTCATTCGCTCAGTCACTCAGTCACTCAGTCAACGTTGCCTTTGACAGCGAGCTAGACCGTACCCTCACAGATAAACACCCCGGTGTTAAACAGGTGATCACCTCAGTCGTTCACTCAGTCAGTCAGTCAGTCACTCGCTCAGTCGCTCAGTCACTCACTCAGTCACTCACTCAGTAACTCAGTCACTCGCTCAGTCACTCACTCAGTCAGTCACTCAGTCGTTCACTTGCTCAGTCGTTCACTCGCTCAGTCACTCAGTCACTCACTCAGTCACTCAGTCAGTCAACGTTGCCTTTGACAGCGAGCTAGATCGTACACTCACAGATAAACACCCCGGTGTGAAACAGGTGATCACTCGTTCAGTCACTCAGTCAGTCACTCAGTCACTCAGTCACTCACTCAGTCACTCAGTCAGTCAACGTTGCCTTTGACAGCGAGCTAGATCGTACACTCACAGATAAACACCCCGGTGTGAAACAGGTGATCACTCGTTCAGTTACTCAGTCAGTCAGTCAGTCACTCAGTCGTTCAGTCAGTCAGTCACTCAGTCACTCGCTCAGTCAGTCACTCAGTCACTCACTCAGTCACTCAGTCAGTCATTCACTCACTCAGTCACTCAGTCACTCAGTCACTCGCTCAGTCGTTAACTCGCTCAGTCACTCGTTCACTCGCTCAGTCGTCCAGTCATTCAGTCACTCGCTCAGTCACTCGCTCAGTCCCTCAGTCACTCAGTCAGTCACTCACTCAGTCAGTCACTCACTCACTCACTCGCTCAGTCACTCAGTCACTCAGTCAGTCACTCAGTCACTCACTCAGTCACTCAGTCACTCAGTCACTCGCTCAGTCGCTCAGTCACTCAGTCACTCAGTCAGTCACTCGCTCACTTGCTCACTCGCTCAGTCACTCAGTCACTCGCTCAGTCACTCAGTCACTCAGTCACTCGCTCAGTCACTCGCTCAGTCACTCAGTCGTTCAGTCACTCGCTCAGTCGCTCAGTCACTCAGTCACTCGCTCAGTCACTCACTCGCTCGGTCACTCGCTCAGTCACTCGCTCGCTCACTCAGCCACTCGCTCAGTCACTCGCTCAGTCACTCGCTCAGTCACTCGCTCAGTCACCGTGTATCTCCCTTTGTGTCTCCCCCCCGTGTCTCTCTCCCCGTGTCTCTCATTGTGTCTCTCTCCCCGTGTCTCTCTCCCCGTGTCTCTCTTTCACCCTGTCTCTCTCCCCGTGTCTCTCTCCCCGTGTCTCTCTCCCCGTGTCTCTCTCCCCGTGTCTCTCTTTCACCCTGTCTCTCTCCCCGTGTCTCTCTCCCCGTGTCTCTCTCCCCGTGTCTCTCTCTCTACCCCCCGTGTCTCTCTCTCCCCGTGTCTCTCTCTCTCTCCCCGTGTCTCTCTCTCTCCCTGTGTCTCTCTCCCTGTGTCTCTCTCCCGTGTCTCTCTCCCCGTGTCTCTCTCTCACCGTGTCTCTCTCCGTGTCTCTCTCCCCGTGTCTCTCCCCGTGTCTCCCCCCGGGTCTCCCCGTGTCTCTCTCTGACCGTGTCTCTCTTTCACCGTGTCTCTCTACCCGCGTCTCTCTCCCCGTGTCTCCCCATGTCTCTCTCCCCGTGTCTCTCTCTCACCGTGTCTCTCTCCCCGTGTCTCTCTCTCTCCCCGTGTCTCTCTCCCCGTGTGTCTCTCTCCCCGTGTCTCTCTCCCTGTGTCTCTCTCTCCCTGTGTGTCTCTCTCCCCGTGTGTCTCTCTCCCCGTGTCTCCCCCCCGTGTCTCTCTCTCCCCGTGTCTCTCTCTCTACCCCCTGTGTCTCTCTCTCCCCGTGTCTCTCTCTCTCTCCCCGTGTCTCTCTCTCTCCCTGTGTCTCTCTCCCCGTGTCTCTCTCCCCGTGTCTCTCTCTCCCCGTGTCTCTCTCCCCGTGTCTCTCTCCCCGTGTCTCTCTCCCCCCCGTGTGTCTCTCTCCCCGTGTCTCTCTCTCCCCATGTCTCTCTCCCCGTGTCTCTCCCCGTGTCTCTCTCCGTGTTTCTCTCCCCGTGTCTCTCTCTCCCCGTGTCTCTCTCCCCGTGTCTCTCCCCGTGTCTCTCTCCCCGTGTATCTCTCCCCCCGTGTCTCCCCCCCGTGTCTCCCCGTGTCTCCCCCGTGTGTCTCTCTCCCCGTGTCTCTCTGACCGTGTCTCCCCGTGTCTCCCCGTGTCTCCCCCCCCGTGTCTCCCCCCCCGTGTCTCTCCCCGTGTCTCTCTCTCCGTGTCTCTCTCTCCCCGTGTCTCTCTCTCCCCGTGTGTCTCTCTCCCCGTGTGTCTCTCTCCCCGTGTCTCTCTCTCTCTCCCCGTGTCTCTCTCTCTCTCCCCGTGTCTCTCTCTCACCATCTCTCTCCCCGTGTCTCTCTCTCCCCGTGTCTCTCTCTCCCCGTGTCTCTCTCTCTCTCCCCGTGTCTCTCTCTCTCTCCCCGTGTCTCTCTCTCACCATCTCTCTCCCCGTCTCTCTCTCTCCCCGTGTCTCCCCCCCGTGTCTCTCTCTCCCCGTGTCTCCCCGTGTCTCACCGTGTCTCCCCCTCCCCGTGTCTCCCCCCCCGTGTCTCCCCGCCGTGTCTCCCCGTCCCCGTGTCTCTCTCCCCGCCCCCCCCGTGTCTCTGTGGTGCAGCTGCTCGAGAAGAAGGAGGGCTTGTTTAGGAAGCACATGATGGGCAAGCGAGTCGACTTTGCCGCTCGCTCCGTCATCTGCCCGGACATGTTCATCAGCACGCACGAGATCGGAGTGCCCATGGTAACGTCACTCACACAGTCACTCAGTCAGTCAGTCAGTCACACAGTCAGTCAGTCAGTCACACAGTCAGTCAGACAGTCAGTCAGTCACACAGTCAGTCACACAGTCACACAGTCAGTCACTCACTCACCTACTCACTCACTCAGTCAGTCACTCACACAGTCACTCAGTCAGTCAGTCATACAGTCAGTCACACAGTCAGTCAGTCAGTCACACAGTCAGTCAGTCACACAGTTAGTCAGTCAGTCAGTCACACAGTCAGTCAGTCACACAGTCAGTCAGTCAGTCACTCACACAGTCAGTCAGTCACACAGTCAGTCAGTCACTCAGTCACTCACACAGTCACACAGTCAGTCACTCACTCACCTACTCACTCACTCAGTCAGTCAGTCACACAGTCAGTCAGTCAGTCAGTCACACAGTCAGTCAGTCACACAGTCACTCACACAGTCACTCAGTCACTCAGTCACTCACTCAGTCACTCAGTCAGTCAGTCACTCAGTCAGTTACTCAGTCAGTCACACAGTCAGTCAGTAAGTCAGTCAGTAAGTCAGTCAGTCACACAGTCAGTCAGTCAGTCACACAGTCAGTCAGTCAGTCACACAGTCAGTCAGTCACACAGTCAGTCAGTCAGTCACACAGTCAGTCAGTCACACAGTCAGTCACACAGTCAGTCAGTCAGTCAGTCACACAGTCAGTCACACAGTCAGTCACTCACACAGTCACTCAGTCACTCAGTCAGTCACACAGTCAGTCAGTCAGTCAGTCACACAGTCAGTCAGTCACACAGTCACACAGTCAGTCACACAGTCAGTCAGTTACTCAGTCAGTCAGTCACACAGTCAGTCAGTCAGTCAGTTACTCAGTCAGTCACACAGTCAGTCAGTTACTCAGTCACACAGTCACTCAGTCAGTCAGTCACACAGTCAGTCAGTCACACAGTCAGTCAGTCAGTCACTCACACAGTCACACAGTCAGTCACTCACTCAACTAACTCACTCACTCAGTCAGTCACTCACACAGTCAGTCAGTCACTCACACAGTCACTCCGTCAGTCACTCACTCACACAATCACTCAGTCAGTCACTCACCTACTCACTCATTCACCCACTCACTCACTCACTGAGTCACTCACCCACCCACTCACTCACCCACTCACCCACCCACTCACTCACTCACTCACCCACTCACCCACTCACTCACTCACCCACTCACCCACTCACTCACTCAGTCACCCACTCACTCACCCACTCGCTCAGTCAGTAACTCACTCACTCACCCACTCACTAACTCAGTCACTCAGTCACTCACTCACCCACCCACTCACTCACACACTCACCCACTCACCAACTCACTCACTCACCCACTCACCAACTCACTTACTCACCCACTCACCCACCCACTCACTCACACACTCACTCACTCACCTACTCACTCACCCACTCACTCACCCACACACCCACCCACTCACCCACCCACTCACTCACCCACTCACCCACTCACTCACCCACCCACTCACCCACCCACTCACTCACTCACCCACTCACGCACCCACTCACCCACTCACTCACTCACCCACCCACTCACTCAGTCACCCACTCACTCACCCACTCGCTCAGTCAGTCACTCAGTCACTCACTCACTCACCCACTCACTCACTCAGTCACTCAGTCACTCACTCACCCACCCACTCACTCACACACTCACCCACTCACCAACTCACTCACTCACCCACTCACCAACTCACTTACTCACCCACTCACCCACCCACTCACTCACACACTCACTCACTCACCTACTCACTCACCCACTCACTCACCCACACACCCACCCACTCACCCACTCACTCACTCACCCACTCACCCACTCACTCACCCACCCACTCACTCACCCACTCACTCACTCACTCACCCACTCACCCACTCACTCACCCACCCCCCCACCAACCCCCCCCCCCACCCACCCCCCACCCCCCCCCCCACCCCCACCCACCCCCCACCCCCCCACCAACCCCCACCCACCACCCACCCCCCCACCACCCACCACCCCCCCACCACAGGTGTTTGCCCAGAAGCTGACGTACCCTGAACGTGTCACCCCGTGGAATGTCGCCACCCTCCGTCGCTGCGTCCTCAACGGCCCGTTGGTCCACCCGGGCGCCGTGTCCGTCGTTTCGGAGGACGGGGCTCGCACAGAGCTCAGCGGCAGCGACGCGGCGCAGCGGCGAGCTGTGGCTCAGAGGCTGCTGACTCCGGCAGGGGCCGGTGGTGGTGGCGGTGGTGGTGGTGGTGGCGGTGGTGGTGGTGGTGGTACCAACAGTGCCATGCTGAATAATTCAAGTAAAATAGTGAGTTGGTGGGTGGGTGGGTGGGTTGGTGAGTGGGTGAGTGGGTGGGTGAGTGGGTGGGTGAGTGGGTGAGTGGGTGAGTGGGTGGGTGGGTGAGTGGGTGAGTGAGTGGGTGAGTGGGTGGGTGAGTGGGTGAGTGGGTGAGTGGGTGAGTGGGTGGGTGAGTTTTTGAGTGGGTTGGTGGGTGAGTTGGTGAGTTGGTGGGTGGGTGAGTTGATGAGTAGGTGGGTGGGTGGGTGGGTGAGTGGGTGGGTGGGTGAGTGGGTGGGTGGGTGAGTGGGTGGGTTGGTGAGTGGGTGAGTGGGTGAGTGAGTGGGTGAGTCGGTGAGTGAGTGAATGAGGTGGGTGGTGGGTGGGTGAGTAGGTGAGTGAGTGAGTGAGTGGGTGAGTGAGTGAGTGTGTGAGTGAGTGAGTGGGTGAGTGGGTGAGTGAGTGAGTGGGTGAGTGGTTGGGTGGGTGATTGGGTTGGTGAGTGAGTGGGTGATTTGGTGAGTGCGTTGGTGGGTGGGTGAGTGGGTGAGTGGGTGGGTTGGTGGGTGGGTGGGTGAGTGGGTTGGTTGGTTGGTGGGTGGGTGAGTGGGTTGGTGGGTTGGTGATTGGGTGGGTGGGTTGGTGGGTGGGTGAGTGGGTTGGTGGGTGGGTGAGTGGGTTGGTTGGTGGTCGGTGCGTTGGTGGGTAGGTGGGTGAGTGAGTGAGTGAGTGGGTGGTGGGTGGGTGAGTGGGTGGGTGGGTGGGTGAATGTGTGGTGAGTGGGTGGGTGAGTGAGTGGGTGAGTGGGTGAGTTGGTGGGTGGGTGGGTTGGTGGGTGGGTGGGTGGGTGAGTGGTTGGGTGGGTTGGTGGGTGGGTCAGTGGGTTGGTTGGTTGGTGGGTGGGTGGGTGAGTGAGTCAGTGGGTGGGTGAGTGGGTGGGTGGGTGGGTTGGTGGGTGGGTCAGTGGGTTGGTTGGTGGGTGGGTGGGTGAGTGAGTCAGTGGGTGGGTGAGTGGGTGGGTGGGTGGGTGAGTGAATGAGTGGGTTGGTGGGTGAGTGGGTGGTGCTGCCCCCTCTCTCTCCCTTGTCATGTTCCACCCTTGCCACCCCAACCCTCTCTCCCCTCTTTCCCACCCAACCCTCGCCGCTCAACCCTTGCCACGCGACCCTCGCCACCCTCGCCACCTTAACCCTCGCCACCCAACTCTCTCTCCCCTCTCTCCCACCCCAACCCTTTCCACCCCAACCCTTGCCACACAACCCTTGCCACACAACCCTCTCTCCCACCCCAACCCTCGCCACCCCAACCCTTGCCACCCTCACCACCCCAACCCTTGCCACCCCAACCCTCGCCACCCCAACCCTCGACACCTTAACCCTCTCTCCTCTCTCTCCCACCCCAACCCTTTCCACCCCAACCCTTGCCACACAACCCTTGCCACACAACCCTCTCTCCCCTCTCTCCCACCCCAACCCTTGCCACCCTCACCACCCCAACCCTTGCCACCCCAACCCTCGCCACCCCAACCCTCGCCACCCCAACCCTCGACACCTTAACCCTCTCTCCTCTTTCTCCCACCCCAACCCTCGCCACCCCAACCCTCTCTCCCATCCCAACCCTCGCCACCCCAACCCTTGCCACCCCAACCCTTGCCACCCCAACCCTTGCCACTCTCACCACCCCAACCCTTGCCACCCCAACCCTTGCCACCCCAACCCTCGACACCTTAACCCTCTCTCCTCTCTCTCCCACCCCAACCCTCTCTCCCACCCCTCTCTCCCAACCCTTGCCACCCCAACCCTCGACACCTTAGCCCTCTTTCCTCTCTCTCCCACCCCAACCCTTGCCACCCCAACCCTCGCCACCCCAACCCTTGCCACCCCAACCCTCTCTCCCACCCCAACCCTTGCCACCCCAACCCTCGCCACCCCAACCCTCGACACCTTAACCCTCTCTCCCCTCTCTCCCACCCCAACCCTCGCCACCCCAACCCTCACCACCCCAACCCTTGCCACCCCAACCCTTGCCACCCCAACCCTTGCCACCCCAACCCTTGCCACCCCAACCCTCGCCACCCCAACCCTCGACACCTTAACCCTCTCTCCTCTCTCTCCCACCCCAACCCTCTCTCCCAACCCTTGCCACCCCAACCCTCTCTCCCATCTCTGCCACCCCAACCCTCTCTCCCCTCTCTCCCACCCCAACCCTCACCACCCCAACCCTCACCACCCCAACCCTTGCCACCCTCCCCTCCCAGGTCCTCCGTCACCTCCGCAACGGGGACGTGCTCCTTCTGAACCGGCAGCCACAACCCTCTCTCCCACCCCAACCCTTGCCACCTTCACCACCCCAACCCTTGCCACCCCAACCCTTGCCACCCTCCCCTCGCAGGTCCTGCGTCACCTCCGCAACGGGGACGTGCTCCTGCTGAACCGGCAGCCGACCCTCTCTCCCACCCCAACCCTTGCCACCCCAACCCTTGCCACCCCAACCCTTGCCACCCCAACCCTCGCCACCCCAACCCTCGACACCTTAACCCTCTCTCCTCTCTCTCCCACCCCAACCCTCTCTCCCAACCCTTGCCACCCCAACCCTCTCTCCCCTCTCTGCCACCCCAACCTTTGCCACCCTCACCACCCCAACCCTCACCACCCCAACCCTTGCCACCCACCCCCTCCCAGGTCCTGCGTCACCTCCGCAATGGGGACGTGCTCCTCCTGAACCGGCAGCCAACCCTCTCTCCCACCCCTCTCTCCCAACCCTTGCCACCCCAACCCTCGCCACCCCAACCCTTGCCACCCTCCCCTCCCAGGTCCTCCGTCACCTCCGCAACGGGGACGTGCTCCTGCTGAACCGGCAGCCACAACCCTCTCTCCCACCCCAACCCTTGCCACCACAACCCTCTCTCCCACCCCAACCCTTGCCACCCCAACCCTCGCCACCCCAACCCTCGACACCTTAACCCTCTCTCCTCTCTCTCCCACCCCAACCCTCGCCACCCCAACCCTCTCTCCCACCCCAACCCTTGCCACCCCAACCCTCGCCACCCCAACCCTCGACACCTTAACCCTCTCTCCTCTCTCTCCCACCCCAACCCTTGCCACCACAACCCTCTCTCCCACCCCAACCCTTGCCACCCCAACCCTCGCCACCCCAACCCTCGACACCTTAACCCTCTCTCCCCTCTCTCCCACCCCAACCCTTGCCACCCCAACCCTCTCTCCCACCCCAACCCTTGCCACCCCAACCCTCGCCAACCCTCGACACCTTAACCCTCTCTCCTCTCTCTCCCACCCCAACCCTTGCCACCCCAACCCTCTCTCCCACCCCAACCCTTGGCACCCCAACCCTCGCCACCCCAACCCTCGACACCTTAACCCTCTCTCCCCTCTCTCCCACCCCAACCCTCGCCACCCCAACCCTCACCACCCCAACCCTTGCCACCCCAACCCTTGCCACCCCAACCCTTGCCACCCCAACCCTCGCCACCCCAACCCTCGACACCTTAACCCTCTCTCCTCTCTCTCCCACCCCAACCCTCTCTCCCAACCCTTGCCACCCCAACCCTCTCTCCCATCTCTGCCACCCCAAACCTCTCTCCCCTCTCTCCCACCCCAACCCTCACCACCCCAACCCTCACCACCCCAACCCTTGCCACCCTCCCCTCCCAGGTCCTCCGTCACCTCCGCAACGGGGACGTGCTCCTGCTGAACCGGCAGCCACAACCCTCTCTCCCACCCCAACCCTTGCCACCTTCACCACCCCAACCCTTGCCACCCCAACCCTTGCCACCCTCCCCTCCCAGGTCCTGCGTCACCTCCGCAACGGGGACGTGCTCCTGCTGAACCGGCAGCCGACCCTCTCTCCCACCCCAACCCTTGCCACCCCAACCCTTGCCACCCCAACCCTTGCCACCCCAACCCTCGCCACCCCAACCCTCGACACCTTAACCCTCTCTCCTCTCTCTCCCACCCCAACCCTCTCTCCCAACCCTTGCCACCCCAACCCTCTCCCCTCTCTGCCACCCCAACCCTTGCCACCCTCACCACCCCAACCCTCACCACCCCAACCCTTGCCACCCACCCCCTCCCAGGTCCTGCGTCACCTCCGCAACGGGGACGTGCTCCTCCTGAACCGGCAGCCACAACCCTCTCTCCCACCCCTCTCTCCCAACCCTTGCCACCCCAACCCTCGCCACCCCAACCCTTGCCACCCTCCCCTCCCAGGTCCTCCGTCACCTCCGCAACGGGGACGTGCTCCTGCTGAACCGGCAGCCACAACCCTCTCTCCCACCCCAACCCTTGCCACCCTCACCACCCAAACCCTCGCCACCCCAACCCTTGCCACCCCAACCCTTGCCACCCCACCCTCCCCTCCCAGGTCCTGCGTCACCTCCGCAACGGGGACGTGCTCCTGCTGAACCGGCAGCCGACGCTGCACCGACCCTCCATGCAGGCGCACGTGGCACGGGTGCTGCGGGGCGAGCGGGTCCTGCGTCTGCACTACGCCTCGTGCAAGGCCTACAACGCCGACTTCGACGGCGACGAGATGAACGCCCACTTCCCCCAGAGCGAGGTGGCACGGGCTGAGGCGCTCGGGCTCGCCGCCACTCACACGCAGTACCTGGTGCCCAAGGTGGGTGGCGAGGGGGTGGGTGGGTTGGGTGGCACGGGTTGAGTTGGTTGGGTGGCACGGGTTGAGTTGGTTGGGTGGCACGGGTTGGGTGGCACGGGTTGGGTGGCACGGGTTGGGGGTGGGTGTTGAGGGTTGGTTGGGTGGCACGGGTTGGGTGGCGCGGGTTGGGTGGCACGGGTTGGGTGGCACGGGTTGGGGTGGGTGTTGAGGGTTGGTTGGGTGGCACGGGTTGGGGGTGGGTGGCACGGGTTGGTTGGGTGGCACGGGTTGGTTGGGTGGCATGGGTTGGGGGTGGGTGTTGAGGGTTGGTTCGGTGGCACGGGTTGGTTGGGTGGCACGGGTTGGGGGTGGGTGTTGAGGGTTGGTTGGGTGGCACGGGTTGGGTGGCACGGGTTGGTGGTGGGTGTTGAGGGGTTGGTTGGGTGGCACGGTTTGGGTGGCACGGGCTAGGGGTGTGTGTTGAGGGTTGGTTGGGTGGCACGGGTTGGTGGTGGGTGTTGAGGGTTGGTTGGGTGGCACGGGTTGGGTGGCACGGGTTAGAAGCTACCTAGAGGCTACCCGGGGCAACCCTTGCCCTGCGCCCTGCTCGCTGCTCACACAACCCTTGCCCTGCGCCGTGCCGCTCACACAACCCTTGCCCTGCTGCTAACACAACCCTTGCCCTGCGCCCTGCTAACACAACCCTTTCCCTGTGCCGTGCTGCTAACACAACCCTTGCCCTGCTCGCCGCTAACACAACCCTTGCCCTGCGCCCTGACGCTAACACAACCCTTGCCCTGCGCCCTGCTCGCCGCTCACACAACCCTTGCCCTGCGCCCTGCTCACACAACCCTTGCCCTGCTCGCCGCTAACACAACCCTTGCCCTGCGCCGTGCCACTAACACAACCCTTGCCCTGTGCCCTGCTCCCTGCTCACACAACCCTTGCCCTGCCACTAACACAACCCTTGCCCTCCTCACACAACCCTTGCCCCGTGCTCCCTGCTAACACAACCCTTGCCCTGCCACTAACACAACCCTTGCCCTGCCACTAACACAACCCTTGCCCTGCCACTAACATAACCCTTGCCCTGCTGCTAACACAACCCTTGCCCTTTGCCCTGCTAACACAACCCTTGCCCTCCTCACACAACCCTTGCCCCGTGCTCCCAGCTAACACAACCCGTGCCCTCCTCGCACAACCCTTGCCCTGCCACTAACACAACCCTTGCCCTCCTCACACAACCCTTGCCCCGTGCTCCCTGCTAACACATCCCGTGCCCTCCTCGCACAACCCTTGCCCTGTGTCCTGCTCGCCGCTAACACAACCCTTGCCCTGCCACTAACACAACCCTTGCCCTGTGCCCTGCCACTAACACAACCCTTGCCCTTTGCCCTGCTAACACAACCCTTTCCCTCCTCACACAACCCTTGCCCTGCCACTAACACAACCCTTGCCCCTTGCTCCCTGCCCTGCCCGCCAACGCAGGACGGCACGCCCCTGGCAGGCCTCATCCAGGACCACGTGGTTGCGGCGGCGGCCATGACGCTCCGCGGGGCCTGCTTCACTCGCGAGCAGTACCACAGGCTGACTTACCTGGGCCTGCACGGGGAGACGCACAGGCTCAGGATGTTACCGCCTGCCATACGTAGGCCTCACGTCCTGTGGACGGGCAAGCAGGTACACTACCTGTTACACTACACACTACCTGTTACACTACTACACTACACACTACACTACTACACACAGGCTGACTTACCTGGGCCTGCACGGGGAGACGCACAGGCTCAGGATGTTACCGCCTGCCATACGTAGGCCTCACGTACTGTGGACGGGCAAGCAGGTACACTACCTGTTACACTACACACTACACTACCTGTTACACTACTACACTACACTACTACACACACAGGCTGACTTACCTGGGCCTGCACGGGGAGACTCACAGGCTCAGGATGTTACCGCCTGCCATACGTAGGCCTCACGTCCTGTGGACGGGCAAGCAGGTACACTACCTGTTACACTACACACTACCTGTTACACTACACACTACACTACCTGTTACACTACTACTACACTACACTACTACACACACAGGCTGACTTACCTGGGCCTGCACGGGGAGACGCACAGGCTGAGGATGCTACCGCCTGCTATACGTAGGCCTCACGTCCTGTGGATGGGCAAGCAGGTACACTACCTGTTACACTACCTGTTACACTACCTGTTACACTACTACTACACTACACTACTACACACACAGGCTGACTTACCTGGGCCTGCACGGGGAGACGCACAGGCTCAGGATGTTACCGCCTGCCATACGTAGGCCTCACGTCCTGTGGACAGGCAAGCAGGTACACTACCTGTTACACTACACTACTACACACACAGGCTGACTTACCTGGGCCTGCACGGGGAGACGCACAGGCTGAGGATGTTACCGCCTGCTATACGTAGGCCTCGCGTACTGTGGACAGGCAAGCAGGTACGTGTGGGTACCTGTTACACTACCTGTTACACTACTACACTACCTGTTACACTACCTGTTACACTACTACTACACTACTACACACACAGGCTGACTTACCTGGGCCTGCACGGGGAGACGCACAGGCTCAGGATGTTACCGCCTGCCATACGTAGGCCTCGCGTCCTGTGGACAGGCAAGCAGGTACACTACCTGTTACACTACCTGTTACACTACACACTACACTACCTGTTACACTACCTGTTACACTACACACTACACTACCTGTTACACTACTACACTACTACACTACACTACTACACACAGGCTGACTTACCTGGGCCTGCACGGGGAGACTCACAGGCTGAGGATGCTACCGCCTGCTATACGTAGGCCTCACGTCCTGTGGACGGGCAAGCAGGTACACTACCTGTTACACTACCTGTTACACTACTACACTACCTGTTACACTACTACACTACCTGTTACACTACACACTACACTACCTGTTACACTACTACTACACTACACTACTACACACAGGCTGACTTACCTGGGCCTGCACGGGGAGACTCACAGGCTCAGGATGTTACCGCCTGCTATACGTAGGCCTCACGTCCTGTGGACGGGCAAGCAGGTACACTACCTGTTACACTACACACTACACTACCTGTTACACTACCTGTTACACTACACACTACACTACCTGTTACACCACTACTACACTACTACACACACAGGCTGACTTACCTGGGCCTGCACGGGGAGACTCACAGGCTGAGGATGTTACCGCCTGCTATACGTAGGCCTCTTGTACTGTGGACGGGCAAGCAGGTACACTACCTGTTACACTACCTGTTACACTACTACACTACCTGTTACACTACACACTACACTACCTGTTACACTACTACTACACTACACTACTACACACAGGCTGACTTACCTGGGCCTGCACGGGGAGACTCACAGGCTCAGGATGCTACCGCCTGCTATACGTAGGCCTCACGTCCTGTGGACGGGCAAGCAGGTACGTGTGGGTACCTTCTACACTACCTGTTACACTACACACTACACTACCTGTTACACTACCTGTTACACTACACACTACACTACCTGTTACACTACTACACTACCTGTTACACTACCTGTTACACTACCTGTTACACTACTACTACACTACTACACACAGGCTGACTTACCTGGGCCTGCACGGGGAGACGCACAGGCTCAGGATGTTACCGCCTGCCATGCGTAGGCCTCTTGTACTGTGGACGGGCAAGCAGGTACACTACCTGTTACACTACCTGTTACACTACCTGTTACACTACTACACTACCTGTTACACTACTACACTACCTGTTACACTACTACTACACTACTACACACACAGGCTGACTTACCTGGGCCTGCACGGGGAGACTCACAGGCTGAGGATGCTACCGCCTGCCATACGTAGGCCTCTTGTACTGTGGACGGGCAAGCAGGTACACTACCTGTTACACTACCTGTTACACTACTACACTACCTGTTACACTACCTGTTACACTACTACTACACTACACTACTACACACACAGGCTGACTTACCTGGGCCTGCACGGGGAGACGCACAGGCTGAGGATGTTACCGCCTGCTATACGTAGGCCTCACGTCCTGTGGACGGGCAAGCAGGTACGTGTGGGTACCTTCTACACTACCTGTTACACTACACACTACACTACCTGTTACACTACACACTACACTACCTGTTACACTACTACTACACTACACTACTACACACACAGGCTGACTTACCTGGGCCTGCACGGGGAGACTCACAGGCTCAGGATGTTACCGCCTGCCATACGTAGGCCTCACGTCCTGTGGACGGGCAAGCAGGTACACTACCTGTTACACTACCTGTTACACTACTACACTACCTGTTACACTACCTGTTACACTACTACACTACCTGTTACACTACACACTACACACTACACTACCTGTTACACTACCTGTTACACTACCTGTTACATTACTACACTACCTGTTACACTACACTACTACACTACTTGTTACACTACCTGTTACACTACACACTACACTACCTGTTACACTACACACTACACTACTTGTTACACTACCTGTTACACTACCTGTTACACTACACACTACACTACCTGTTACACTACACACTACACTACTACACTACCTGTTACACTACCTGTTACACTACTACTACACTACACTACTACACACACAGGCTGACTTACCTGGGCCTGCACGGGGAGACTCACAGGCTCAGGATGTTACCGCCTGCCATACGTAGGCTTCTTGTACTGTGGACGGGCAAGCAGGTACACTACCTGTTACACTACCTGTTACACTACTACACTACCTGTTACACTACCTGTTACACTACTACTACACTACACTACTACACACACAGGCTGACTTACCTGGGCCTGCACGGGGAGACGCACAGGCTCAGGATGTTACCGCCTGCTATACGTAGGCCTCACGTCCTGTGGACGGGCAAGCAGGTACGTGTGGGTACCTTCTACACTACCTGTTACACTACACACTACACTACCTGTTACACTACACACTACACTACCTGTTACACTACTACTACACTACACTACTACACACACAGGCTGACTTACCTGGGCCTGCACGGGGAGACTCACAGGCTCAGGATGTTACCGCCTGCCATACGTAGGCCTCACGTCCTGTGGACGGGCAAGCAGGTACACTACCTGTTACACTACCTGTTACACTACTACACTACCTGTTACACTACCTGTTACACTACTACACTACCTGTTACACTACACACTACACACTACACTACCTGTTACACTACCTGTTACACTACCTGTTACATTACTACACTACCTGTTACACTACACTACTACACTACTTGTTACACTACCTGTTACACTACACACTACACTACCTGTTACACTACACACTACACTACTTGTTACACTACCTGTTACACTACCTGTTACACTACACACTACACTACCTGTTACACTACACACTACACTACTACACTACCTGTTACACTACCTGTTACACTACACACTACACTACCTGTTACACTACACACTACACTACCTGTTACACTACACACTACACTACCTGTTACACTACACACTACACTACCTGTTACACTACACACTACACTACCTGTTACACTACACACTACACTACCTGTTACACGACACACTACACTACCTGTTACACTACTACACTACCTGTTACACTACCTGTTACACTACACACTACACTACCTGTTACACTACCTGTTACACTGCCTGTTACACTACTACACTACACTACTACATGCACAGGCTCAGGATGTTACCGCCTGCTATATGTAGGCCTCGCGTACTGTGGACGGGCAAGCAGGTACACTACCTGTTACACTACCTGTTACACTACTACACTACCTGTTACACTACCTGTTACACTACTACTACACTACACTACTACACACACAGGCTGACTTACCTGGGCCTGCACGGGGAGACGCACAGGCTGAGGATGTTACCGCCTGCTATACGTAGGCCTCACGTCCTGTGGACGGGCAAGCAGGTACGTGTGGGTACCTTCTACACTACCTGTTACACTACACACTACACTACCTGTTACACTACACACTACACTACCTGTTACACTACTACTACACTACACTACTACACACACAGGCTGACTTACCTGGGCCTGCACGGGGAGACTCACAGGCTCAGGATGTTACCGCCTGCCATACGTAGGCCTCACGTCCTGTGGACGGGCAAGCAGGTACACTACCTGTTACACTACCTGTTACACTACTACACTACCTGTTACACTACCTGTTACACTACTACACTACCTGTTACACTACACACTACACACTACACTACCTGTTACACTACCTGTTACACTACCTGTTACATTACTACACTACCTGTTACACTACACTACTACACTACTTGTTACACTACCTGTTACACTACACACTACACTACCTGTTACACTACACACTACACTACTTGTTACACTACCTGTTACACTACCTGTTACACTACACACTACACTACCTGTTACACTACACACTACACTACTACACTACCTGTTACACTACCTGTTACACTACACACTACACTACCTGTTACACTACACACTACACTACCTGTTACACTACACACTACACTACCTGTTACACTACACACTACACTACCTGTTACACTACACACTACACTACCTGTTACACTACACACTACACTACCTGTTACACGACACACTACACTACCTGTTACACTACTACACTACCTGTTACACTACCTGTTACACTACACACTACCTGTTACACTACCTGTTACACTGCCTGTTACACTACTACACTACACTACTACACGCACAGGCTCAGGATGTTACCGCCTGCTATATGTAGGCCTCGCGTACTGTGGACGGGCAAGCAGGTACACTACCTGTTACACTACCTGTTACACTACTACACTACCTGTTACACTACCTGTTACACTACTACTACACTACACTACTACACACACAGGCTGACTTACCTGGGCCTGCACGGGGAGACGCACAGGCTGAGGATGTTACCGCCTGCTATACGTAGGCCTCACGTCCTGTGGACGGGCAAGCAGGTACGTGTGGGTACCTTCTACACTACCTGTTACACTACACACTACACTACCTGTTACACTACACACTACACTACCTGTTACACTACTACTACACTACACTACTACACACACAGGCTGACTTACCTGGGCCTGCACGGGGAGACTCACAGGCTCAGGATGTTACCGCCTGCCATACGTAGGCCTCACGTCCTGTGGACGGGCAAGCAGGTACACTACCTGTTACACTACCTGTTACACTACTACACTACCTGTTACACTACCTGTTACACTACTACACTACCTGTTACACTACCTGTTACACTACCTGTTACACTACTACACTACCTGTTACACTACCTGTTACACTACCTGTTACACTACACACTACACTACCTGTTACACTACTACACTACCTGTTACACTACCTGTTACACTACTACACTACCTGTTACACTACCTGTTACACTACCTGTTACACTACTACACTACCTGTTACACTACTACACTACCTGTTACACTACTACACTACCTGTTACACTACTACACTACCTGTTACACTACCTGTTACACTACACACTACCTGTTACACTACCTGTTACACTACACACTACCTGTTACACTACCTGTTACACTACTACACTACCTGTTACACTACCTGTTACACTACACACTACACTACCTGTTACACTACCTGTTACACTACCTGTTACACTACACTACCTGTTACACTACCTGTTACACTACACACTACACTACCTGTTACACTACTACACTACTACACTACACACTACACTACACACTACACTACCTGTTACACTACCTGTTACACTACCTGTTACACTACACTACCTGTTACACTACCTGTTACACTACACTACCTGTTACACTACCTGTTACACTACACACTACACTACCTGTTACACTACCTGTTACACTACTACACTACCTGTTACACTACACTACTACACTACTTGTTACACTACCTGTTACACTACACACTACACTACCTGTTACACTACACACTACACTACTTGTTACACTACCTGTTACACTACCTGTTACACTACACACTGCAATACCTGTTACACTACACACTACACTACTTGTTACACTACCTGTTACACTACCTGTTACACTACACACTACACTACCTGTTACACTACACACTACACTACTTGTTACACTACCTGTTACACTACCTGTTACACTACACACTACAATACCTGTTACACTACACACTACACTACTTGTTACACTACCTGTTACACTACCTGTTACACTACACACTACAATACCTGTTACACTACACACTACACTACTTGTTACACTACCTGTTACACTACCTGTTACACTACACACTACACTACCTGTTGCACTACTACACTACACACTACACTACCTGTTACACTACACAATACTACACTACACACTACACTACTACACTACCTGTTACACTACTACACACACACTACACTACACACTACACTACTACACACTACACTACACACTACACTACTACACTATACACTACACGCTACACTACTACACACTACACACTACTACACTACACTATACACTACTACACACACAGGCTCAGGATGCTGCCGCCTGCTATACGTAGGCCTCGCGTCCTGTGGACGACCAAGCAGGTACGTGTGGGTACCTGTTACACTACCTATTACACTACTACACTACCTGTTACACTTAACTACCTGTTACACTACTACACTACCTGTTACACTACTACACTACCTGTTACACTACACTACCTGTTACACTACTACACTACCTGTTACACTACCTGTTACACTACACACTACACTACTACACTACCTGTTACACTACCTGTTACACTACTACACTACACACTACACTACTACACTACACTACTACACTACCTGTTACACTACTACACTACCTGTTACACTACACACTACACTACCTGTTACACTACACACTACACTACCTGTTACACTACTACACTACACACTACACTACTACACTACTACACACACTACACTACACGCTACACTACTACACCACCCACTACACTACCCACTACACTACACACTACACCACCCACTACACCACCCACTACACCACCCACTACACCACCCACTACACCACCCACTACACTACACCACTACACCACCCACTACACCACACACTACACTACACTACCCACTACACTACACCACTCACTACACTACACACTACACTACCCACTATACCACCCACTACACTACACACTACACTACACCACACACTACACTACACACTACACTACCCACTACACTACCCGCTAGTGGGTAGTGTAGCGGGTGGTGTAGTGAACTCACTCACCCTGTACTCACCCTTCCCAGCTGATGTCCACCCTGCTGGTCAACTCACTCACCCCCTGTACTCACCCACAGCTGGTGTCCACCCTGCTGGTCAACTCACTCACCCCCTGTACTCACCCATCCCAGCTGGTGTCCACCCTGCTGGTCAACTCACTCACCCCCTGTACTCACCCCTCTCAGCTGATGTCCACCTTCGCTGGTGAACTCACTCACCCTGTACTCACCCCTCTAGCTGGTGTCCACCCTGCTGGTCAACTCACTCCCCCAGCTGGTGTCCACCCTGGTGGTGAACTCACTCACCCCCTGTACTCACCCTTCACAGCTGGTGTCCACCCAGGTGGTGAACTCTCACCCCCACCTGGTGTCCACCCTGGTGGTGAACTCACTCACCCTGTACTCACCCCTCTCAGCTGGTGTCCACCCTGCTGGTCAACTCACTCACCCTGTACTCACCCTTCACAGCTGGTGTCCACCCTGCTGGTCAACTCACTCCCCCAGCTGGTGTCCACCCTGGTGGTGAACTCACTCACCCTGTACTCACCCCTCTAGCTGGTGTCCACCCTGGTGGTGAACTCACTCACCCCCTGTACTCACCCTTCACAGCTGGTGTCCACCCTGCTGGTCAACTCACTGCCGCTGGGCGCTCCTCCGCTGAACCTGAATGGATCGGCCAAGGTGGGTGGCAGGGCCTGGCTTCGCCTCCCCGCCCGGAAGGTCAAGTCGCCTGGGTTCAACCCCGCACTCATGTGTGAATCACAGGTAGCTGTACGCACACACCTGTACACACCTGTACACACACACCTGGGTTCAACCCCGCACTCATGTGTGAATCACAGGTAGCTGTACACACACAGACACACACACACACACAGTGACACACACACACACAGTGTACACACACACACAGTGACACACACACACACACAGTGACACACACACACACAGTGACACACACACACAGTGACACACACACACAGTGTACACACACACACACAGTGACACACACACAGTGACACACACACAGTGACACACACACAGTGTACACACACACAGTGACACACACACAGTGACACACACACACATGGTGACACACACACAGTGTACACACACACCTGGGTTCAACCCCGCACTCATGTGTGAATCACAGGTAGCTGTACGCGCACACACAGACACGCACACACCTGTATGTACACACAGTGTACACACACACACCTGTACACACACACAGTGACACACACACACAGTGACACACACACCTATACGCACCTGTACACACACCTGTACACACAGACACGCACGCACGCACACCTGTACGCACACACACCTATACACACACACCTATACACACCTGTACACGCACACACCTGTACACACACAGTGACACACACACACAGTGTACACGCACACACAGTGACACACACACAGTGACACACACACACAGTGTACACACACACAGTGTACACACACACACAGTGACACACACACAGTGTACACACACACAGAGTGACACACACACAGTGTACACACACACAGTAACACACACACACACAGTGACACACACACAGTGTACACACACACACAGTGACACACACACAGTGACACACACACACACATAGTGACACACAGACACACGTTTACACACACACACCTTTACATACACCTATACACACCTGTACACACACGGTGTACAGAGAATGGCTCTGACTCCTGGCCACGTAGTTTTTCCCAGGCCCGCTCACCATCATGAAGGTCCTTAATGATCGTGAGCAGAGAGTCAGGGACTCCAAAAGCACGAAGAACAACCCAGAGCCCAGGCCTACTGATGGTATCATAGGCCTTGACCAGGTCAATAAAGCAGAGATGTAGGTCTTGCTGGAATTCCCTACACCTCTGCTGTAGCAGACGGACAGAAAATATGGCATCTGTGTAGGACCGCCCTTTCCTGAAACCGCATTGGGGCTCCGCAAGCCTCTCCTCAGCGTGCCTGGCAAGGCGATGTTGAATAATCCTTGCCAGGACCTTTCCTGGCACACTGAGGAGTGAGATGCCCCTGTAGTTGTTACGAACCTCCGAGCGAAGGCTGCGGTAAGCCTCCTCGTTCTCTGACGTGGGATTCTGTAGCCGATGACAGTGGGCCTGTCACTTTTTCTCAACCATCCTGAACACCTCCTCTGTCAGGCAGGGTCTCTGGGGAGGTCTGGACCGCGTACCCAAAGCAGCCATTGCAGCTGCATGAGTCACAGTCCTAAACCTCGCCCATTTACCCTCGACATCAGGAGGAGTCGGGGACGATGCCAACCCCAGCCGCAAGCGATGATGAAATTCTCGCTTGCAACTTTAATCAGTTAACTGAGACCAGGCCACTTTAGGTTGGAATGGGGTCCTGGGTGTACACCCACCACCGGAGTGGAAGAATGGCAGGCGCATCTTACAGATGACTAGTCGATGGTCAGAGGGCAGATCAGCTCCACGGTAGGTCCTGGTGTCAAGGACATGGGCTCGCATCCGCTGGTCCGTCACTATGTAGTCCAGCAGATGTTCTTGCTTGGACCCGGCGTGCATCCGTGATGTTGTGTAGATGCGCCAATGCCGGTGTGTGTACACACAGTGACACGCACACACTGTACACACACACAGTGTACACACACACTCACTGTACACACACACGCACCTGTATCTAACTCTAACTATCTCTGTGTATATCTCTGTGACTATCTCTGTATCTATCTAACTCTGTATCTATCTAACTAACTCTGTAACTATCTATCTCTGTGACTATCTCTGTATCTATCTCTGTGACTATCTCTGTGACTATCTCTGTATCTAGCTAACTAACTAACTCTGTGACTATCTCTGTGACTATCTCTGACTATCTCTGTAACTATCTAACTATCTGTGTGTATATCTCTGTATCTCTCTGTGATTCTGTGACTATCGTTGTGTATATCTCTGTGTATATCTCTGTGACTATCTCTGTATCTAACTAACTAACTCTGTGACTATCTCTGTGACTATCTCTGTTACTATCTCTGTGTATCTCTCTGTGACTATCTCTAGGTGATTATCTGTGGTGGTGAGCTACTCTGCGGCCTGCTGGACAAGGCTTTAACTAACTCTGTATCTATCTAACTATCTCTGTATCTATCTAACTATCTAACTAACTCTGTATCTATCTAACTAACTCTATCTATCTAACTCTGTATCTATCTAACTAACTCTGTATCTATCTAACTAACTCTCTATCTATCTATCTCTGTATCTATCTAACTATCTAACTAACTCTGTATCTATCTAACTATCTCTGTATCTATCTAACTATCTAACTAACTCTCTATCTATCTAACTAACTCTGTATCTATCTAACTAACTCTGTATCTATCTAACTAACTCTGTAACTATCTAACTAACTCTGTATCTATCTAACTAACTCTGTATCTATCAAACTATCTCTGTGACTATCTCTTTGTATCTCTCTGACTATCTCTAGGTGATTATCCATGGCAGTGAGCTCCTCTGCGGCCTGCTGGACAAGGCTTTCTCTAACAAACTCTGTATCTATCTAACTAACTCTGTATCTATCTAACTACCTCTGTATCTATCTAACTATCTAACTATCTCCATGACTATCTCTGTGACTATCTCCGTGACTATCTCTGTGACTATCTCTGTGGCTATCTCTGTGACTATCTCTGTGACTATCTCTGTATCTAACTAACTCTGTATCTATCTAACTAACTCTGTATCTATCTAACTCTGTATCTATCTAACTCTGTATCTGTCTAACTATCTCTGTATCTATCTAACTATCTCTGTATCTAACTAACTCTGTATCTATCTCTGTATCTATCTAACTAACTCTGTATCTATCTAACTATCTCTGTATCTATCTAACTAACTCTGTATCTATCTAACTATCTCTGTGACTATCTCTAGGTGATTATCCGTGGCAGTGAGCTCCTCTGCGGCCTGCTGGACAAGGCTTTCTCTAACTAACTCTGTATCTATCTAACTATCTCTATCTATCTAACTAACTCTGTATCTATCTAACTACCTCTGTATCTATCTAACCATCTAACTATCTCTGTGACTATCTCTGTGACTATCTCTGTGACTATCTCTGTATCTATCTATCTAACTATCTCCGTGACTATCTCTGTGACTATCTCTGTGTATCTCTGTGACTATCTCTGTGACTATCTCTAGGTGATTATCCGTGGCGGTGAGCTCCTCCTCGGCCTGCTGGACAAGGCTTTCGCTAACTCTGTATCTATTTAACTATCTCTGTATCTATCTAACCAACTCTGTATCTATATAACTAACTCTGTATCTATCTAACTATCTGTGTGACTATCTCTAGGTGATTATCCGTGGCGGTGAGCTCCTCTACGGCCTGCTGGACAAGGCTTTCTCTAACTAACTCTGTATCTAACTAACTAACTAACTCTGTATCTATCTAACTAACTCTGTATCTATCTAACTAACTATGTATCTATCTAACTATCTCTGTGACTATCTCTAGGTGATTATCCGTGGCGGTGAGCTCCTCTGCGGCCTACTGGACAAGGCTTTCTCTAACTAACTCTGTATTTATCTAACTAACTCTGTATCTATCTAACTAACTCTGTATCTATCTAACTAACTCTGTATCTATCTAACTAACTAACTAACTCTGTAACTAACTAACTCTGTATCTATCTAACTAACTCTGTATCTATCTAACTAACTCTGTATCTATCTATCTAACTCTGTATCTATCTAACTAACTCTGTATCTATCTAACTAACTAACTCTGTAACTAACTAACTCTGTATATATCTAACTAACTCTGTATCTAACTATCTGTGTGACTATCTCTGGGTGATTATCCGTGGCGGTGAGCTGCTCTGCGGCCTGCTGGACAAGGCTTTCTCTAACTTACTCTGTATCTATCTAACTATCTCTGTATCTATCTAACTATCTAACTAACTCTGTATCTATCTAACTATCTCTGTATCTATTTAACTAACTAACTCTGTATCTATCTAACTAACTCTGTATCTATCTAACTAACTCTGTATCTATCTAACTAACTCTGTATCTATCTAACTATCTGTGTGACTATCTCTAAGTGATTATCCGTGGCGGTGAGCTACTCTGCGGCCTGCTGGACTAGGCTTTCTCTAACTAACTCTGTATTTATCTAACTAACTCTGTATCTATCTAACTATCTAACTAACTCTGTATCTATCCAACTATCTCTGTATCTATCTATCTAACTAACTCTGTATGTATCCAACTAACTCTGTATCTATCTAACTATCTGTGTGACTATCTCTAGGTGATTATCCGTGGTGGTGAGCTGCTGTGCGGCCTGCTGGACAAGGCTTCCTCTCACTAACTCTGTATCTATCTAGCTAACTCTGTATGTATCTAACTAACTCTGTATCTATCTAACTAACTCTGTATCTATCTAACTAACTCTGTATCTATCTAACTAACTCTGTATGTATCTAACTAACTCTGTATCTATCTAACTAACTCTGTATGTATCTAACTAACTCTGTATCTATCTAACTAACTCTGTATCTATCTAACTAACTCTGTATCTATCTAACTAACTAACTAACTCTGTAACTAACTAACTCTGTATCTATCTAACTAACTCTGTATCTATCTAACTAACTCTGTATCTATCTATCTAACTCTGTATCTATCTAACTAACTCTGTATCTATCTAACTAACTAACTCTGTAACTAACTAACTCTGTATCTATCTAACTAACTCTGTATCTAACTATCTGTGTGACTATCTCTGGGTGATTATCCGTGGCGGTGAGCTGCTCTGCGGCCTGCTGGACAAGGCTTTCTCTAACTTACTCTGTATCTATCTAACTATCTCTGTATCTATCTAACTATCTAACTAACTCTGTATCTATCTAACTATCTCTGTATCTATCTAACTAACTAACTAACTCTGTATCTATCTAACTAACTCTGTATCTATCTAACTAACTCTGTATCTATCTAACTATCTGTGTGACTATCTCTAAGTGATTATCCGTGGCGGTGAGCTACTCTGCGGCCTGCTGGACTAGGCTTTCTCTAACTAACTCTGTATTTATCTAACTAACTCTGTATCTATCTAACTATCTAACTAACTCTGTATCTATCCAACTATCTCTGTATCTATCTATCTATCTAACTAACTCTGTATGTATCTAACTAACTCTGTATCTATCTAACTATCTGTGTGACTATCTCTAGGTGATTATCCGTGGTGGTGAGCTGCTGTGCGGCCTGCTGGACAAGGCTTCCTCTCACTAACTCTGTATCTATCTAGCTAACTCTGTATGTATCTAACTAACTCTGTATCTATCTAACTAACTCTGTATCTATCTAACTATGTATCTATCTAACTAACTCTGTATGTATCTAACTAACTCTGTATCTATCTAACTAACTCCGTATGTATCTAACTAACTCTGTATCTATCTAACTAACTGTATCTATCTAACTAACTCTGTATCTATCTAACTAACTCTGTATCTATCTAACTAACTCTGTATCTATCTAACTAACTCTGTATCTATCTAACTAACTCTGTATCTATCTAACTAACTAACTAACTCTGTAACCAACTAACTCTGTATCTATCTAACTAACTCTGTATCTATATAACTAACTCTATCTAACTAACTCTGTATCTATCTAACTCACTCTGTATCTATCTAACTAACTCTGTATCTATCTAACTAACTCTGTATGTATCTAACTAACTCTGTATCTATCTAACTATCTGTGTGACTATCTCTAGGTGATTATCCGTGGCGGTGAGCTGCTCTGCGGCCTGCTGGACAAGGCTTTCTCTAACTAACTCTGTATCTATCTAACTAACTCTGTATCTATCTAACTAACTCTGTATGTATCTAACTAACTCTGTATCTATCTAACTAACTCTGTATCTATCTATCTATCTAACTAACTAACTCTGTAACCAACTAACTCTGTATCTATCTAACTAACTCTGTATCTATATAACTAACTCTATCTAACTAACTCTGTATCTATCTAACTAACTCTGTATGTATCTAACTAACTCTGTATCTATCTAACTACCTCTGTATCTATCTAACTAACTCTGTATCTATCTAACTAACTCTGTATCTATCTAACTACCTTTGTATCTATCTAACTATCTAACTATCTCTGTGACTATCTCTGTATCTATCTAACTATCTCTGTATCTATCTAACTATCTCTGTATCTATCTATCTAACTAACTCTGTATCTATCTAACTAACTCTGTATCTATCTAACTATCTGTGTGACTATCTCTAGGTGATTATCCGTGGCGGTGAACTGCTCTGCGGCCTGCTGGACAAGGCCCATATGGGCAGCACATCACTGGGACTTGTTCACTCTGTGCACGAACTCTACGGGGGAAACGCGAGCGGACGCCTCCTCACCAACCTGGCACGGCTCTTCACCGCCTACCTGCAGCTCTACCTGGGGTTCTCACTCGGTACGCACACACACACACAGAGTCGTACACACACACACACAGAGACACACACACACAGAGACTCGTACACACACACACACACAGACACACACACACAGACTCGTACACACACACAGAGACTCGCACACACACACAGAGACTCGCACACACACACAGACTCACACACAGACTGGTACACACACACAGAGACTCGCGCACACACACACACACACACAGACTCGTACACACACACAGACTCGTACACACTCACACACAGACTCGTACACACACACACACACTCACACACAGACTCGTACACACACACACAGACTCGTACACACTCACACACAGACTTGTACACACACACACACAGACACACACACACTCACACACAGACTCGTACACACACACACAGACTCGTACACACACACACAGACTCGTACACACACACACAGACACAGACTCGTACACTCACACACAGACTCGTACACACACACACACAGACTCGTACACTCACACACAGACTCGTACACACACACACAGACACACACACACACAGACTCGTACACACACACACAGACTCGTACACACTCACACAGACACACACCAGACTCGTACACACACACAGAATCGTACACACACACACACAGACTAGTACACACTCACACACAGACTCATAGACACACACACAGACACGTAGACACACACACAGACTCATAGACACACACACACAGACTCATAGACACACACAGACTCATAGACACACACACAGACACATAGACACACACACAGACTCATAGACACACACACAGACACATAGACACACAAACAGACTCATAGACACACACACATAGACACACTCACAGACACATAGACACACACACAGACACATAGAGACACACACGGACACATAGACACACACACAGACTCATAGATACACACACAGACTCATAGACACACACACACAGACACATAGACACACACACAGACTCATAGACACACACACACAGACTCATAGACACACACACAGACACATAGACACACACACACAGACACATAGACACACACACACAGACTCATAGACACACACACACAGACTCATAGACACACACACACAGACTCATAGACACACACACAGACTCATAGACACACACACAGACACATAGACACAAACACAGACTCATAGACACACACACAGACTCATAGACACACACACAGACACATAGACACACACACAGACTCATAGACACACACACAGACTCATAGACACACACACACAGACTCATAGACACACACACACACTCACACACAGACTCGTACACACTCACACACAGACTTGTACACACACACACACAGACACACACACACACACTCACACACAGACTCGTACACACACACACAGACTCGTACACACACACAGACTCGTACACACACACACAGACACAGACTCGTACACTCACACACAGACTCGTACACACACAGACTCGTACACTCACACACAGACTCGTACACACTCACACACAGACTCGTACACACACACACACACAGACTCGTACACTCACACACAGACTCGTACACACACACACAGACACACACACACACAGACTCGTACACACACACACAGACTCGTACACACTCACACAGACACACACACACAGACTCGTACACACACACAGAATCGTACACACACACACACACAGACTAGTACACACTCACACACAGACTCATAGACACACACACAGACACGTAGACACACACACAGACTCATAGACACACACACACACTCACACACAGACTCGTACACACACACACAGACTCGTACACACTCACACACAGACTCATAGACACACACACACAGACTCGTACACTCACACACAGACTCGTACACACACACACAGACACACACACACACAGACTCGTACACACACACACAGACTCGTACACACTCACACAGACACACACACACAGACTCGTACACACACACAGAATCGTACACACACACACACAGACTAGTACACACTCACACACAGACTCATAGACACACACACAGACACGTAGACACACACACAGACTCATAGACACACACACACAGACTCATAGACACACACAGACTCATAGACACACACACAGACACATAGACACACACACAGACTCATAGACACACACACAGACACATAGACACACAAACAGACTCATAGACACACACAAACTCATAGACACACACAGACTCATAGACACACAGACTCATAGACACACACACAGACACATAGACACACACACATAGACACACTCACAGACACATAGACACACACACAGACACATAGAGACACACACAGACACATAGACACACACACAGACACATAGAGACACACGGACACATAGACACACACACAGACTCATAGATACACACACAGACTCATAGACACACACACACAGACACATAGACACACACACAGACTCATAGACACACACACACAGACTCATAGACACACACACAGACACATAGACACACACACACAAACACATAGACACACACACAGACTCATAGACACACACACACACAGACTCATAGACACACACACACAGACTCATAGACACACACACAGACTCATAGACACACACACAGACACATAGACACACACACAGACTCATAGACACACACACAGACTCATAGACACACACACAGACACATAGACACACACACAGACTCATAGACACACACACAGACTCATAGACACACACACACAGACTCATAGACACACACAGACACATAGACACACACACAGACACCTAGACACACACACAGACTCATAGACACACACAGATGCATAGACACACACACAGACACATAGAGACACACACACAGACACATAGACACACACACACATAGACACACACACACAGACTCATAGACACACACACAGACTCATAGACACACACAGACACATAGACACACACACAGACTCCTACACACAGACACACACAGACACATAGACACACACACACACACTCGTAGACACACACACACAGACTCGTACACACACACAGACTCATAGACACACAGACACATAGACACACACACACACACAGACACATAGACACATAGACACACACACAGACTCATAGACACACACACAGACACATAGACACACACACAGACACATAGACACACACACAGACTCATAGACACACACAGACACGTAGACACACACACAGACGCATAGACACACACACACAGACACATAGACACACACACAGACTCATAGACACACACACAGACTCATAGACACACACACAGACACATAGACACACACACACAGACACATAGACACACACACAGACTCATAGACACACACACAGACACATAGACACACACACAGACTCATAGACACACACACAGACACATAGACACACACACAGACACATAGACACACACAGACACATAGACACACACAAAGACTCATAGACACACACACAGACTCATAGACACTCACACAGACTCATAGACACACACACACAGACACACACACAGACACATAGACACACACAGAGATTCATAGACACACACACAGACACATAGACACACACAGACACATAGACACACACACAGACTCATGGACACATACACAGACTCATAGACACACACAGACTCATAGACACACAGACACGGACACACACACAGACTCATAGACACACACACACACATAGACACACATACAGACTCATATACACACACAGAGATTCATAGACACACACACAGACACATAGACACACACACAGACTCATAGACACACACACATAGACACACATACAGACTGATAGACACACAGAGATTCATAGACACACACACAGACACATAGACACACAGTGTGTGTGTCACTGTGTGTTTGTCACTGTGTGTGTGTCTCTGTGTGGGTGTCTCTGTGTGTGTGTCACTGTGTGTGTGTGTGTCACTGTGTGTGTCTCTGTGTGGGTGTCTCTGTGTGTGTGTGTCACTGTGTGTGTGTCACTGTGTGTGTGTGTCACTGTGTGTGTGTGTGTATCTCACTGTGTGTGTCACTGTGTGTATGTGTCACTGTGTGTGTCACTGTGTGTGTGTGTCACTGTGTGTGTGTATCACTGTGTGTGTCACTGTGTGTGTGTCACTGTGTGTGTGTCACTGTGTGTGTCACTGTGTGTGTCACTGAGTGTGTGTGTCACTGTGTGTGTCACTGTGTGTGTGTGTCACTGTGTGTGTCACTGAGTGTGTGTGTCACTGTGTGTGTCACTGTGTGTGTGTCACTGTGTGTGTCACTGTGTGTGTGTGTCACTGTGTGTGTCACTGTGTGTGTGTGTCACTGTGTGTGTCACTGTGTGTGTGTCACTGTGTGTTTCACTGTGTGTGTCACTGTGTGTGTGTGTCACTGTGTGTGTCACTGTGTGTGTGTCACTGTGTGTGTCACTGTGTGTGTGTCACTGTGTGTGTCACTATGTGTGTCACTGTGTGTGTGTCACTGTGTGTGTCACTGTGTGTGTGTGTCACTGTGTGTGTCACTGTGTGTGTGTCACTGTGTGTGTCACTGTGTGTGTCACTGTGTGTGTCACTGTGTGTGTCACTGTGTGTCACTGTGTGTGTGTCACTGTGTGTGTCACTGTGTGTGTCACACTGTGTGTGTCACTGTGTGTGTATCACTGTGTGTGTGTCACTGTGTGTGTGTGTCACTGTGTGTCACTGTGTGTGTCACTGTGTGTGTCACTGTGTGTGTCACTGTGTGTGTCACTGTGTGTGTCACTGTGTGTGTCACTGTGTGTGTGTATCACTGTGTGTGTCACTGTGTGTCACTGTGTGTGTGTCACTGTGTGTGTGTCACTGTGTGTGTGTACACTGTGTGTGTGTCACTGTGTGTGTCACTGTGTGTGTCACTGTGTGTGTGTCACTGTGTGTGTGTCACTGTGTGTGTGTGTACACTGTGTGTGTGTCACTGTGTGTGTGTCACTGTGTGTGTGTCACTGTGTGTGTCACTGTGTGTGTGTCACTGTGT